CAGACATCTCTGTAACCATGGAATAAACATCTGGCAACCCTCCAGCAGAATCCACTCCTATTTTCTCTTCACCATCGCCAGAAGCTCTCTCTCCTGAGGTAAACGGAGTTCCTGACAAGCCTGGACTTCCACCAGTGCCCCGCTGCAATCTCCAGCAGCCAAGGTATCTCTGGGGTAAAACACCACAGTGCTGCCTTTGGCCCAGCAGCGAGGGTCAGAACTGACCCAAGCACCATCTAACTGGTTATATTGGGATTCCTATTCCAATAGTTGGTCAAATTCAAAGGATGCCCCTCAGGCCTGGGGGTCATCGGCCTGTCTAGGTGTCCCTCGTCCCTTGAGACCCCACCCCCCCCACCTGGTTGGTGGTTCACCTGTCCCCTCCCCTCCCCCTGAGCTTAAAAGGTGAATCAGACCATGTGGCTGGATTCTGTTGGAGCTCTTCCCAAGATTCAAACCTCTGTCACCATGGAATAAACCTCTGGATATTAAACCCTCCAGCAGAATCCTCTCCTTTTTTTCTCTTCACCTTCACCTGCAGCTTCCTCCTGAGTTCCTAACAAGCCTGGACTTACTAAGGGCCCAGCTGCGACCACCAGCAAGCTAAAGGTTCTCTGGGATGATACACCACAGATACCGCCTTCGGCCTAGCAGCGAGGGTCAGACTGGGCCAGGCACAATCTAACTGGTAATATTGGGATTAATATTCCAATAATTTCTGGCTCCAAATTTTGAGCACTTGACCTAACTCAGACTAGTACAAGTAGGAGACTACATGCTATTTCTGTTTTTTGACACTGCTCTCCTGTTTATCAGCTTTTCTTATTGGGGACGAGAGAGAAATAGTCCTGTGCTGCTTTAACAAACATCTGTTTTTGAGGGCTAGTTAAAACTAAGTCTACAACCCTACTGTCAGATGGACCAAGGAATGAAGTTGCATCCTGCTGTGCATGCTCAAGATGAAACACCATTAAGTTGCATTTTTGCCTGTCAGAGAAGGCCTCTCAGCTGCAGTGTGAGCACTATGACTTGCTGACAAGATTGCACTGATTAGTCATGCAAGTGAACAACAAGAGAAACAAAAATGAGTGACAAGGAATCAATTCTGAACTATACAGAACCTTGCATTTGCATCATAAGCCTTCATAGCATTGCATAAATCATTAACATATCAACTGAAAGTATTTATCTCTACCTCCTGGGATCATGAGGGACAAAGCACTTGCAGAAAGGGACTTTGTGACTTTTCCAGAGATCTTCTTTTTCTCTGTGCTTTCCAATCGCTGTCGAGCCATGTGCGATGCAACTTCACCAGCTGGCTTTGAGATGTTATCTGTACTGTCCACACTCTCACTTCTTCCATTTATTTGATCTAAGTGTTCTGAGAAACTGCCAACTGTACAAAGAAAAAGGAATAAAGACATTGAGGGAAAACTTTGCTAAACTTTGCATTGAGGGAATATCCTTTTGCTAATGGACCACAGAAAAAATAAACTACTCTCAAGTGTAACTGGTTAAGTGTAAGAAGAGGATCACACAGTTGGAGTTATCACTGCAGCTGCTGTATTATTACCAACACCATTACACAGGACCTGGGGGATAGCAAGCAAGACTTGAGATACAGCACAATCAACATCAAGGTTTTAGACAAGGATAGAGATGGATGACCCTGAAGAAATTTTCTCCTCCATGATCAGAAAGGAGGGAGGGGGAGGAAAGTGTGGACTACATGGGAAATCAAGGGCTTGAGAACAGAAGGGTGTATCTTGAAAAAACTCAGTGAGGTACAGAAGAGAAGGAAGCTGAAAACTGGTAGATGTGTAGATATGAAACTAAGGCCCCAGAGTCTACTGAAATGCAACAAGTATTTGAGTAGGGAGACAATGCTCAAAATTAATTAAGTAGAGAATGGTTTGCAACACTTCCTCCGAGATTTGTAATCACCAAAGTGACTTCCACAAGTCATAGAAAATCCTCTTAATTCTGAAAGGTGTACATTGTAGTGAAATCTTAATTAAAAACACACAATGTGTAGTACACCGACCAGATCCCTGTTGGGACAGCTGTTTTTGAAAGCAGTTCTGAAATGCATCACTTCTAAATCTATGAATGCTACTGCCACAAGATGGTCGGCAACTGTTTGTAGTATCATCAGTCAAGACACCCCCTGTGAACTACCTGATAGTGTGGAGCTGCTGATTGTACTTGCTGGAGTGGTTACTTCAGGTTCATCTTGCACTGTTTCATCGCTCACAAATGCAGACTTTTCCTGCTCCTCCCGGGGTCCCCGTGAGCCGCTGGAATCATCCCGTTCTCCTTCAGCTGATACAGACAATTTTGGAAGCAAACCAGAATTGGGCTGCTGCCGGCTACTGTCAGTCTCAGATGAGATGGATGTAGATATTTGCTGTCTGCATAACAAATAAGCAAACTCTCACTCAGTTAATAAATGAAGAGGCCTGCTATCTGGCAAACAGGATGTAGGTGACTTGCTGTACATCCTTCTACTTACATTTCAGAATATTCTGAACTCCAGCTTAAAGATTCCCCAGAAGGCAATGCTACACTTTTTGTTTTGTTTCCTGCATCTTCCTTTTCTTCACCTTGAATCTGAGTGACTCGATCTATACTACTAAAAACCTATTAAAGGAAAAAAAAACCCACAAAAAATTGAATATCACTGACACATTTCATATTAAAAAAAAGATATGTGGGCTCTATAGTTCTATGATTTTAAATGCTTATATAGTATTTCAGATTTCAAACTTCAAATTTCTTGAACCTTTTCAAATTTCCAACACTTCACTTTCTTAAAATGCTTTCTTGGCTCCTCATGTATAGGTATACAAATAGAGCCTCTTCTGATGATGTATTTATCAGTTTTCTCCTCATTTCAAAGTGCGAACCAAGACAGTAAAGCCAAAATCCTGGGTGTTTATTCCATTATTATTTCCTGCCAATTCACCTCCACTGTATTTATTGCCAGAGCATGTCCACTCTGATCAGCAATAATTAGCTCTCACCTCAGCTACTAGAGAAATACTACCTTTTGGGCAGTTTTACCTTTGATTCAGAGCATTCAGATCACTCCCTCATTTCTCCATGACTATAAAACATGCTAACCATTACCTTGCTTTTTCTTTGGTCATATGTCACTAAATTAACACCTACTACACAGTAGTACTGTAATACTTGTAATGCACCTACAAGATACCCAGGACACAACTGGAGCAACAGGAAAACTATGTATAAACAAACCAATGCAAAGAACACATATTAGCATTTAACAGAACACTTCCTTGACACTTTCTGGTATGCAATAATGAGTCTTCTACAGAAGATGTCATCATATTTATGTAAGTTTCCATTACTATATTAAAGATTCAAAAGTTAACTTTTCTACACAATCTGCCCATATTTTGATTTAATGGTATTCATTGTAGTCTTGCTCAATTTCAGTTAACTTCATAGTTTCTTGAGAAAATAAGGCCCTATATATCTCCTTTATATTTAACATTTCCAAAATTTGCAAAAGTAGAACAACACATACTAAGATGACAGAAATTTTTACTTACTTTTGAAAATCTGTGTGAACACGAGGAGAACTGCCTTATCTCCAAATTAAAATCTTCATCATTGGTATCATCTTCTTCCTCAGTTTCCATATGGTGGTATTTCTCAGAACGAGCTACAGACAAGGGCAATAAAATATCTGAATTTATCAGGAAGAAGACATACTATGTTTTAATATTAAATAAAAATATAGTTCTATTCTTAAGATTATTTTTGCTGAAGTGTCAACTCATTGGTAAAACTGCAAACTGCCAGTAATTCTGATAAAGGAGATTTAAAAAGCAGTAAGCAAGAGTCAAAGACAGTGGTTACTTTAAACAAGGTGTTCGTAACTTTTTTTTGAGACCATAAAACACCTACTATCAAAGTAACTTGTGTCATCTTCAGACTCCAACTGTGGAATAAATTCTGCTTTCTGCCTCAGCAGACTATTCCAGTCAAGGCTCCTGAAGAACTGATGCTGCTTTACTTCATATGCACCACCTGGAGGAGCCAGAGGAAAACATTGAGCAAACTGTACCAAATCCTCTAACAGTAAATTAACTAAACCCCCAGCCAACAATGCAAATAGTCACAGAAAGGCATAGTCATTGGTGTATGCATGAACATCTACTACCCATTCCCATTAGAAATTCTAAACCTGTCAGAAATAGTCCCTGTCCCTGTTGTCTTGTGGCCATTTCTTTTAACAGTTTACTGCTTTATCATCTTCCCCTTTTAAGATTTTTATTCTTGCAAATGTACTAATCTGTTAGCTACATATTAGTTGGAATTTTCATATGTAGTTCTACAAATATAAATATGAGCACTAGGTAAGTACAAGTTATAAAGTAATGAGGAATGATTCTTAATAGTTGCTGAATATAAATACTACTGCTGACTTAAGAGATCCTTTCAGTGTTTTTATGACAGCAATACACAATTCTATAGGAAATACCCTATAATTTCTCTTATTTATTACTGCCTGCTCATTTAGTATGCGTTAAATGATTACATTACTTTAAAGTCAGAAAATTACTGTAAGAACACAATGAAATACTGGAAATTTTGCCCTGGGAAGGTGGACGATGGTATTATTAATAAACATACATCTAATTCTAAAACCTGAAAAAGTAACCTGCAGCAGCAAGACCTGCTACCAGCTTGTTTTGGGTTTGTGTTGCATGGTTTTCCAAGTGGGGAGGCTACAGGAGTGCTTCTGTGAGAAGTGGCCTTCCTCTATATCCAACACAGACACTGCCAGCTGTTTCCAAGATGGATCCACTGTCAGCCCATCAGCATTATCTTGGATAATGTATTAAAGAAGGGGAAAGACTGCTGCCCAACAGCAGCCAGACCACGATGGTGCAGAGATCCACCTGCAGCCCACGGAGGATCCCACGGTGGAGCAAGGTGGATCCCTGAAGTAGACTGCCATGCCACGCAAAGGCCTGTGCTGGAGCACAGGTAGGACCTGTGGCAGAGAGGAGCCCAAGCTGCAACATGGTTGCTGTCAGAACTTGTGACCCCATGGGGAACCCATGCTGGAGCACTCTGTCCCTGAAGATTGCATCCTGTGGGAGGGACCCACACTGCACCAAGGGAATGGTGTGGGGAGGAAGGAGTGTCAGGGGCAGCATGTGATGCACTGACCACTACCCTGATTTCCTGTCCTCCCATGCTGCTTGGAGGGAGGAAGTAAAGCAGTAGTGTTAATTGGTGATAAATTAAACTAACGTCCCTGAGTTTTAATATGCTTTGCCCATGATGGCAAAGCACTTTATCTCAACACAGGAGCCTTTGGCATATTTTCTCCTCCCTTCCAGCTGAGGGGGGGAAGGAGACTTGGTCGGTACCTCCTGGCCAGCAAAGGTCATGTATATCAAAGCTATGGAGAGAAAAAATGAAATCTCCAGGACAGGCTTATAAGTCAGCATTAGGATTTCTAGATTGGGTTCTTTGCTTTTCATACTGCACCAGGGGAAAATTCAAAGAAGCCAAATCTTCCCAAAGCAGATCAAAATCACATCTCATCATAAGTCACTAGCTAAGCAGTGAATATTTCTCTGAGTACAGTAAAGGGATATTACATCAGAATTGTATTATTCTTGATTGGTATCAGACTGTTCAAGCACAAAGAAGTCTTTTTACTGCTGTTTTCCTTCTTCAAAGTAAGTATAGTATCCACCTCTCTTCTTTCAACTTGCCTTTGCCACTCAGGTCTCCTGAGCAAGTAAAGTATTATGATTTTCACAAGGTGTTATGCAGCTTGCTAATACATATTAAACAAGACTATAACTTGAAATGCGTGGTGGAGCCCAGCATAAACCATGGTATTTTTCAGTGCCCATGTGGGACCTGTCACACTGCAGCCCCATTTCTGTGAGCTGATTCTAGCACTTAAAGATCCTACAACTTGGTTGTAGTTTCTGAACCCCTGCTTCAAGGAAATAGCTGCCTAATTTCCTTCTTCAGACTGCCAACTGTAAGAGAAATCAGATGCTTTAAAGAGCCTCTGAACACCACAGGTGCTTCATACTGTGGCACTGACCATTTAGTATTTAAGGCAGCTTCATCTCACCCCCATTCACTTTCTCCACCAACTGTATAGCAACAGACACAGAATTTGCAATTCACTCCTGATCCAGCCTCTCACATGGCAACAGTCTTCAATTAACACTGTATTTATGAGGAAAATCATCCCGGCAATGAAACAACCATACCTGGAAAGAGTGTACTTAAAACAAAGGAATAAAACTTATCGGATTTTCATTTTGCCTTTGGCATTGGTGCCCTCTGGAGCAGATGACACAAGCAGCAAGTGGGGCACGACACCTTCCTCAATCTTAATTTATTCAACATGGGGCAAGGCACAGCAATAAACTGCTGAGTGCCACTTAGCCTAGACCATCAGTTCCAGTGAAGTCTAAGGGTTGCTCACACAGAACCCAGCCATTCATTGCAAGGGACAATGCAGCTCATTCATATCAGTCACATCATCACGCCTTGAGGGAAGCCAAAGGAAGACAGGTCATTTGGGACCATGTCAACACTACAGAGGGTCTGGGTTATAATCACATTTCCCCTGAGCAGCTGTGATAACACCAGTTATGAACTGATTCCTAAATCCTCTTTTTAATTAGGCCTAAATATATGAAGCAAAATTGGACTCAGTTTTGTGAGCAATTTTCCAAGTACTCTCATGCTGACTCAACTTGCCACTTGGTTTCCTTAGCATCCTAAATGTATTTCTGTTCATGGCATACAATGTTCACTGTAAATAAGATTATACCTCTAAATCTGGGCTCATTTATGCAGGAGGCTTTTTTTTTCTTTGTTTACCTAGTGCTTTGCCTAAAGGGATGGCAGTCAGTGACTAGGGTTCCCATGCATTAACACTTAAAAATCACACACAATATTCATTACTGCCTCTCACAGAGACTCCCAAATAAATCCTGGTCTATCAACCAACAAATAAATTCTTATTACATAAATGCACAGTACCTTCATTAGCCTATGGAAGTGTTAATACTTCCTTAACATTCAGTTTTATTTTAATTATTTTTCATACAAGGAAGTAGTGCTTGATAAATGAGAAGACTTTTCACCACACAACCTCAGACAGTCATTACTGAATAAGGATTTGAGTACTCATCACTCACCCTAACACCGGGGGGAATTAATATGCCAGGCTAAGATGCTTCTGAAAAAGGAAGTTGTGTACTGATTCCCCTCCTAGATTTCTGTATTTAGTCATTTAATGCTGTATTAATGAAGAAACCCCATTCACTAACAGGGTCTTTGAGAAATTTCTGTTATATTTATCAAACTGGGAGAACAGTAAATACAAATGAGCCCATGTAAATCCCACAAAACCCAGGACAGACGTCATCATATTAAGTTCCTATTACTGGCCTTAATCTATAAATTATCATGGCATATTATGCTACTGCATGTCATGACAGATGTTTCCCAAGCAAAACAAACAGGTGAACAAAGACTCCCAATGCTGAATACAGTAGCTATTTCTAGTAGATTAACAATTTAAAATTAGTGCCTCCTAACCTGTTCCCAGTCTTTCCAAAGGATTCTGCCTAAGTAGCAAAGTAATCAGATCTTGGGCATCTGGAGGTGGTGCTTCATCCTTTTCAGGCCAGTTGATTTCATCTGAAAGAAAAGAAAGTTGCTTGATATTGTTAAGGTCTGATCCCAGCACAAATTGTATTAATGCTCTCAAAAGCAACCTAACAGCAAAGCAGATTTAAAGTAACTTTCTCAACTTACTCTGCCGCATACCAATTATTTCTAATTTTTATACTCGCTATACAAACTGCATAAACATACTATATTCCAATTTCCTTTGGAAGTATCATTTAACACAAAACTGTGTTTAGCAGCAGAACACATGAATGTTTGGCTCATGGAAAACTTTCAAAATATTAGCACAATTTGCATGCTCTCTCTTCCCCCACCAAATCAAGATTTAAACTGTAGTTATGTTCCATGGAAACTGTTGTTAAGATGGAAACTGCTGACCTGACCTGGCAGCTGCTGCTCACATCTGTGTTCCTTCTCTAATGCTAGCAGACTCCCTGAGGTCAATACTCCCATGACTAAGGTCAAGGTGTCAAACTGTACTCTGGCAACATATATGGCAATGAAGATTTCTCCAAGAGTCTCACACTTCCATACAACCACCCTCCACAGAGTCTTACAATACTTTATCTTTTGCACTTCATGGCAAGCTGGACGCAAACCAATCAAGACAGGATACACTGTGTATGAACATGAACTCTCTAACAGCCTACAAACAGCAAGTTTTGCCTGATTTTTAGTGGAAGCTGCCTTCACAAATGTAATATAGTGCAGGTTTAGATAAAACTCCGAAGAAGCTTCTTGGGAGGTACAAGGATTTTGGCATCAGAGAAACAGCATACTTGGAGCTCCAGAAACACAGAAGGCTGTTAAGGATTTTGTCATTTTATGATCTAGACTTCTATAAAATAATCATAACTGGATAAATAATCATCAGAAGCTACATGCAGGTTTAACCTTCATATTTCAGAGATTAAGGAAAGGTACTGATAAAAACAGACATGAAATGTAACCTGCTTCTGAGGCAACAGTTTATTTAAATTCTTATCACTTTAGGTATTTAAGTTTACACTGAGGCCTCCCACAGCTGTCCTTGCACAACGTGAGGGCAGGAAAAGGCAACCTACAATGCAAAAGGAGGCAGCAAGATTTTAAAGCAGAACTTTAAACAGAATGTAGATTTTGCTTATGGAAACTGGAAGAAAAATCTAGGCTACAGTTTGGTTCTTTAAGATGGCTATTCCAGTCAAACAGAAGGAGATAATTTATTTTAGCACAAGAAACATATCCAACAAGAGTTCTCCTGGAGATACTAAGATTTTTTTCAATAAGCAAGGATATTTCAAAGAGAAACAACTGACAAATCAACATCAAAACAAGAAACTGAGCCAACCAACAGTCTTGTAGGATGAGTGGGAATAGATGATGTTTACAAAAGGACTTCCACAAGTAACTTCTATAAGATAAATTGACACATTCAAATGGACGAAGATATTTACAAAGGTCTCAGCTAGACTGTAACACATGACAGTATGTTTTACAAAATGTAAAATTAATGCCACATGGGGAAAAAAAGCATAATGTACATATTTTGTCATTAATTTTAAGACTATTCCCTCCCCTCCTCCCAGTCAGGGAGTATAAGGATAAAAACACAGGTGTGTGTGTCTGAAAATGCAATAAAAACTTGAGTTATTTCCACATTTGTGTGCCTACAGCTCCACTGCAGTTTAAATCTGATTTGGAAAATAAAGCATGAATATGCATTGCAGCCACGGGGCACCCAGAAAACAGACAGCATTTGCTGCTTGTGTTAATTAAACAGTTGATTCCTCTTGCCACTCAGGCTTCTGCATATCACATCAGAAAACAACATAGTTATAAACCCATGAAACGTAGAATGTCACATGCATTTTAATAGTTTACAAACAAGTCGGGCTTTCAGCTTCAGAGATAGAGGAAATAAAGATGATGACAGAAAGTCTCCTTTAGTACAAAAGGGGATTTGTTGCATTCTCACAGAATGAGGAACCAGAGATGTATTCTCAGCTATTGGACTTTTTAAGCAGACCATAAAACAGACTGGGAAATTCTTAGCAACAGAGGTGGCATTCTGTTAACCTTGTATCATAAATAGTGACCCTCTACATCTATGCATTTGGGAAATTTATGGAAACAGCAGGTAGGATAACAAACAATTCTGTTTAATTATCTTTCAATTTTGTCACAAGACACATAACAATACTTAGGGTCAGTTTGTAGGTTAAGATCCAAAAGGTTATTGAATTTTAAATGGAAGAAGAACAGCTGCTACAGAAATAACATTACACTCCAACAATCACCAATGAAAGCATTAACAATCTGTGAACTGAATTAGTTTCTTTTTCTCATTATTTATTATTTGGGAGACATTTGTTTTAGAGTTTTATTACACGTTTGTTAATTTCTTGATTGTGCCATGAGGCAGAATTTCCCATCCATGTAAATTTATTTAACTGTTTCTTCTCTGGTATAATTTCTTTACCAAACACAGAAATCACTTGTGCACAGTGGCACTACATTTTAACTAACATAGCTTTTCTCTTCCAAACAGTGCAGCTTAACTCCTGGACTCTACATTAATGAATTTCTGTACTTAGCAGAGTAAGTTCAGCTTTTAATCGAAATTATTGTTACTGCTTTGATAGCAGATTGTGTAGTCTAACAGTAAAATTGTAATATATCTACTATTAACAGATTTTGGGGTTTTTTAGAGATGCTCACCACTGATTACTTGTCCAAAGAGCTCTTCTGGTGTATCTCCAAAGAATGGCACACACCCAACAAGAAATTCATAAAGAATAATTCCCATAGCCCACCAGTCCACTGGTTTTCCATAACCCTGTCTCAGTATCACTTCAGGAGCTATGTATTCAGGTGTACCACAGACCTAAAAGAAAGAAAACAAGCATGATGGCAAAGCAAGTCTTAATTTAGCTAGATCAGGAATTTATAATTATTGAAATGCAAATTAATATGAAAACATGGAAATAAATGGAATTCATTTGGGCTTAGTCTGCTGAGTTGGCATAACAGCTCACATTTTTAGAACAACTCACCTACACTTAGAGGCACCATAATCAATATTTGTGCATCTGTCATGCAAAGGACAGTTTATGCTTTGTACATAGGAGTCCATCATGGCAAGTATCTTACTTAACTTAAAACATATTGTTATCCTTATATGAAAGTTGTGATGATTTTATCTTAAGTAACTTTTACAGTGAACAGATTGTGAGCCACGGTAATGAGGCATGCTTAAAGGGAAATGGGCCATAGCACAGATTTTAGCACCCTTGGTTGTACAAAGCATGATGAGCTCCACAAGTACTCTGCTGAGACTTCTGAATTCTTTACAAAACAGTTTTCCATTTGTCTCTCTCACAGATTCACTTGCACAGAATTAGGCCATTCATCTTACTAATAGATCTTAATGCAAAAAGGAAAAAGCCTCAAATAATCCTCAGGGCACCAGTTAAAGTACCTGACATACTGAATTGGAACAACAATGTACAAATAACGATGGTTTATTCAGTATTACAGTATGTTCTGCTGGCAAAATGTTACTTCGTGTGAACACTCAGTGTAGAAATGAAAAAGGCTGTTTCTTACTTGTTTGTCGAGGAATTCTCTGGCATCCTTCTCAATGTGACCCTCATACAGATTGGTAGTCAAACTCATTAGCCCCACTTTTGACAGGCCAAAGTCTGTAAGCTTTATATGACCCATGGATGTTACCAACAGACTGAAAAACAGGAAGTTTTTAAGTCACTGTGATATAATTCAACATCATGTGCTTGTCATTGTTATTATTATTACAATTATAATACTTATGGGAAAACGTTTCATTAGCATTGCTGAATTCTAAATACAATTTAAAATGTACTTTAACTGGTACAGAATGAGCAGGTTAAAAATCTAAGTCTTACATTTGTTACTATTACAGTTAGAAGTAAACAAACTTTTCATGTGCAACTGAACAACATCCTACAGAACTACAGAAGTCTTGAGAGCTGAGTAATTAAAGCTTTGAAGAAACAGTTATCATGTAAAAGCCCTAAAGCAGAATATGTGTCATTTTTGAAGTGAGGTGAGTATTTTGCATCTGTAACAGGATGGGTCAGTCATGCATTTGGAAAAAAACTGAGGATATTAAGTTAGTAACTGATACTATACTAACTAATACTTCCTGCTATGAAGCTAATGTAAATCAACACCTATGACTTTAATTATTTTCTGGTTTTTTTAATTTTAAAAGAGAATGAAGTTGCAAGGGCCACACTTCGTATTTCAGCTATCTGCTGTAATGTCAATTTACTTGTGTAGGAGCAAGACTGTGCTTTTAAATATTGAAACCAAAAAACCTAACCTCTCAAAAGAAAAGCAACCCCCAAAACCCAAGCAACAGGAGGTGTTTCTGAATCTGGTCAATTTTGCCTTCAAACACGCAAATAGCTGCAAGTTGATGATATTTTGTGTTTTCAGTGTTTTAAGTACACTCTGAAAAAAACTTTCTAAATTGCTAAAATGTGGTTCTCTTCATTCTAACACGAAGAATAAATACCTTTTTCTTTTTAGCTACACTGATAGTCTCTTTCATCTTAAACACATAAAATTCTTAACAGCTCTTTTAGGAAAAGAAGCATTTTCTGTAACCACAAGTAATGAAAATTCAAATATTTTGAAGGAACTGCACCATCTACATAACATTTACAACAAAAAAATAATTCTTAGCAAGTTTAGACTTTTGTATCTTATCTTACAATTTCAAACTCTTCTTTCAGTTATATTCTATATACATACTTGTCAGGTTTCAAATCCCTGTGTACAATTCCGTAATTATGAAGGTATTCCAAGGCCAGAACAGTCTCTGCAAAGTACATCCTTGCCATATCTACAGGTAAGGGACCCATATTCTTCATCAAAGTAGCACAGTCTCCACCTGTGGAAACAGTATGTGGAAAAATGTTCCAGATGACTCTATATCTGAGGTGTAACAGCATAAACCATATACGATGCTAAAAGGAACAGAAACTGCAGTCCTAAGATTTCATTTTCTAGTCAGATGACTCAACCAAACTTGTAAGCCCCACAGCTACTCCACTGGAAGTAGTGTGAAGCTGGGAGAGGGCACTACAAGGATTCAGCTGAGAATCAATAATGTACTGCTACCTAAGGAGAAAACAAACAAACAAACTGGGGGGATGGGGAGCGGTGGAAGCCCACACAACCATACCTCAGGATCCCTTCTGTACTACTCCACTGCTCTCCTTCCACAATAGCACCATTTCAAAGCGCTTCCTCTTTCTTGTTTCTTTGTAAAAATAACTACTATAAATCCCCCAACACTTGCTAATGAAAATTTCAGCCCCAGAAAAAAAGAAAACGTTTTCACATGAACTTTGAATGCTAGCACATTTTCGATTACAATCTATAAAGAACTCTACTCTAAGAGCAGTTATTTCCCATTATTCACAAGTGTTTTACAAGCTGTTTACCAGGAGATAATGACTGGTGAAAAAAAAGAACCACCTTGCTGTTAGACCTGGTTCTTAAAATCTGAATTGCCAGAGTATGGAGGACACACGGGGGGCCCTTCTAATTCAAGTACCATATGGGTTATTTTTATTTTGTGGTATAAGGAAATTCTCTTCTTCCTCTGGAAAACAGAAGAGCAATTTTACCTTCGACATACTCCATGACCATGCATAAATGACGTCTTGTTTCAAAGGAGCAATACATGCTAACAACAAACGGATTTTCTGCAAATGTCAGGATATCACGCTCAACGAAGGCCTGTTGGATCTGGTTTCGGAGGATGAGATTCTGTTTATTAATTTTCTTCATGGCAAATCTTTGCCTGGTTTCTTTGTGTCTCACAAAATAAACCGCGCTGAAAAGTTCAAATGGGAGAGAAAAGGAAAGAAGTCTGACTAACTACTAAAAATACATGTGAAAATACATTTTTCACTCAATTTTTTAAAACTATATATATTATAAAAAAGATTTGCTCTCAATTTAACCTACTCTTTCACATTAAAGAATGGTTACAAATCTCATTTTGTTTAAAAACCAGTACTCAAACTAAAACAAACAAGTCTTCTGCCTTTCCCTCTCCCTTCTAAGCAACAGCAAATATAACAGCAGATACAATTGCAAATGGTTTTCAGGCATTCCCATCAACAAAGGATTACATACAAAATCCAGCTATGGCATCGTATTATAAATCATTGTGATAAATGCTTATTCTGTAGGTGTGTTGAAGGGAAATTATGACTCAGTCCAGGAAATTTTGCAACATATCACAGGTCTCTCATGAAGGCTACTTGGAAGTTGCTCGAAGGGGTGGCTCCTCATTAGCAGGTGTAAAATCTCCTGTTCTTGCTCAGTCCCTGACCTCAGTACTGATCCGTATCAGAGGAAGGTCACCAGTAGGTAACCCAAAACAAAGACCACTGTGTTAACTACATGGTAGTGTGGGGCTGTGTTGTATCTTGACTTGCAAAATTTCCACTGGGGCGCTGGGTACAAGGTTTCCTGTGTATTTGGTTAGGTAAAGTCAATGCAGAGAGGAAAGCAAGGAAAAGGAAACCTCATTTGCACAACTCTTCTGTCTTTCAGGTCTAAGGAGAAGGCACTACGCTTCTGTGAAACACTCAGAAGGACTTCACAGCTGCACTTCTCGAAATCCCATGAGGCAAATCCTGAACATTTTTGCCTTGCTTGAAATCTACCTTATAGTATTTAATGCTTATACCATTTCCAGTATATAACTATCAGTGTGTTTATGGAAAGAAAGCACTTAAAGGAGAGGATGGGGGGGAAGGGAAAAGAAATGGAATTCAATTGTAAAGTTTTTTTAATTCAATTAACTGTCTCCTTGAGGTCCAACTATCAGCATACAATTAATTATATAAACATAAAAAGTAACACTTGCCTTACTATTTCTATAAAGGTCTTCACACAGCTACAAAAGTTTTAGGCACTGAAATTTTGGACTTCTCCTTTCCTTTGTGAAGGGAAGCTTTCTAGACAGCATAGTTTCTCTTACTGATTCCAAAAGCTTTTATTAATCCCTCATTCTTGTCTGAGCATGGGGCAGGTAAAAGACATTACACAATCATGAAAGTAGGTAAAAACTACCTTGGGCAAAACCCATGACAAACCCCACCCTTTGTGCCTCCTACTGAGTCTCACTCCCTTCTGCCCCTCCCAAGCTGGAATACAGACTGAGTTATTCATCTCCAGTACTCCTCCCTGCTGACTTCATGCCTTATGTCCTGCAACTCTTGCTACCGCTCCCCTCATATTCACTTCTATCTCCAACTCTTGCTCTTAAAAGCCCCTCCCATGCTTTCCTTTCCCTTGCATTCTGGTTTTCCTCTCTCATTTGTTGCTTTCTCCAGTCAGCTTCATAATCTCCCATAATATCTTTTCTTTTACCTATTGAAGTCCCTCTCTGCATTCCTGGCATGGAGAAAAGTATTGCCTGAAGTCTCTATCCTTCAAAAAAACCTATTTACAGGAATGAACCAAGGACTAACTGAGGACTTGGCATACAAGTATCCTCTAGAGTTTCAAACTGGACAGTGTGCAAGATGGCCTCCTAAAAGGCAAACAGAAACCACAGCATATTATTACAGCATCTTAATAAATCCTCCTTTTAGATCATACACATCTGTAAGATCATTACTAACATATTTTAAAATTATTAAAGAGTAAGTTCCAAGAACTATCTAGTCCTGTAAATATGTGGTACATGTTGCTGTATTTTCCCAGCTGTCTAAACTGCATCTTCAGTCTTAGAGTCACAAGAAGGTAACTTTCCACTAGGATTCTGTTGTTTCTTATAAAAAAAGCTGTTTAGCTCAAATGTACCAGACTCATGAGACAACTGCAACACAATAGTCTCTCCTATTTTCACACATGCATACACTGTTTAAGCTACAGAAAGTGCTTCTAAATGATCTTCAGCATACAAAAATGTCTAACATCCCTCATATCCTCTGGTCACAGTAACCCCAGCAAATAACACTTACACCTTATGAAGAAAACTATACCCCAGGCAGCAGGATGCTATCATCAAATGCTGCCCCAAATCTTCAGTCTGTTATAAAGACAATTTCAAATTTAAGAATTCTGTGACACAAAAACAGTGCAGGGAGAGCATCCAGGCTGTCCTGTCAATTGACTGATTTACAGTGGCACACCCTGCCACCCTGCAAAGCCACAGCCAGAGCCGTACTGTTGCATCCTCCTGTTGTTTCAAATTAAGAATTTGATTTCCTATCTTCGTTCAGCTCTCTGTTTTCCTAACAGCAACAAGAGTTTCCAAACCATCCCTTGGTTTCACTGTGCGAATTTCAACAGGTATGCAAGTGCTCAGTATTTTTCTGATGCTGTAGCTCAACATGGCAAAAAAGCTTAGTTTCCAAAGGAAATAAGAACATTAATAAAGAATAAAGAACATTCATTTGGCAGTGTCCAAACATTATCTTATTTCACTTTCAACATACATCTCAGTCTGAAAATCTGTCTCTATAATAACTCTAGTTAGGTACAACTATAACACACTGCAAAAGTGGTAAGATGACAGAAACAAGCTAAAATATTTAACTGGGTTCCTGAAGTAGTCCAACTCAAATATGCCTTCTATCACTCCAATCTCATAGTCATGATTCCTGTTTTTTCTCTAAATTGAAAAATCTCTATTACCAAAAAAAAAAAAATCACATAGACAGGTTTCAGGCCTAGTTCACAGCTCTCCAATAACTCCAACTTTTAGAGCCATTTTACAACCTAGTTTACATTCAGTGCTAAGGCAAATATAGCTGACACTATATTTTAATCTGTCAGAGGAGCCTGAACTCCTTGTGGAGACACAGGTACTGTACCTACTGCGTAAAAATTATACCTGCTGACCAGGAACTTTGTTTCATTTTTACCAGCAATTTCCTGAGAAGAGACTGCTAAATTCTGTTCTACCCTGGAATTATGTCTCATGTTGCCTCCAGCAAAGAGAAGCTGCTTGTGAGGCTGTGGTTGATATTATTTGGTGAAGTTTATAGATAGTCATTTAAGATCAGAATTAAAAGCAGCACTGCAACACCTCCTAACAAAGCAATGCCTGTGACCAGATCAGAGTTATTTGGGGGCAGAAGGAAATGTTACCTAAAGCTCTGCAGCTCTCAGACAATGCACCCCAGCCTTCTACTTGCAATATTTCAGACTTATCCTAGTCTGCTTAGAAGGAAATGAGAAGCTGGCCATATGAGAAAGAGAACGTGTTGGCTTTGATCCTTCTCTCACAACTGGCATTAGTGCTAGCTGTTCTAATATGTTGTCAGTTTTGAGTAATAAAACCACCTCTGCATACCTAACAGCACCAATGCCTTTTATCTTTATCGCAGCTAGTAACGAAACTGCAGTCCAAAATTCTGATGGGTAAACTGTCTTGTGCTATTTCAGTGAACCTACAAAGTTACATTTCCACCTGTCCCCTTCTACTTCTGAACCAGGGGCTGCCAGGCTGATGATCAATAAACCTGACTGAGGGGGTTTTATTCTAGAGCTGGTAACTTTCTTAATCCTAAAATAAACATAACTATACATGAGCAAGTACTATCAACAGAGTGGAGAAGGGACAGAAGCACTACTCACAAATGACACGCAGCAGCTGCGCAAGATACACTTCTTCCGAGTTTTGAATTTATCAAGCAACACCATTAGCCAGTATGTCATGTACACACTGACACTACCATCCTTGCAAAACTAAAAGCATTCCAGAGAGGAGAGAAAGTGGTATCAAGTATTTGCTTGAAAATGATACAGTTATACATTGAAGAGATACTGAACTAACATCACTTGCTTCCCTAAAATCAAATGAAATTTTTATTTTGTTGAATTTTTTCAGGGACCCAGGCTGATGCTAACCTGAAGAGAAGCACACTACTACCTGCTACCTCTCACAAGCTGGACTGTGGAAAAAAATGTTGTTGTGATTGCAGTAAAAATTTAAAATTTGGGAAATGAGAGTTTTGTCTGGCTGAAGAAAGTCAGATAGACAGCTTGTGAAGCCATTAATGACTTGGCCAGAATCCTACACATTTACTGATTCACAGCTTGTTTAACTTCTTGTATATTCCTAGCCATTCCCAACAGCCTCATCTACTACACCTCATGTACTATACAGTCATTTAATTGCACTACAGATGAGTTTACCCAATCAATTAAAAGCAGACAACTGCTAAGATATTTTCTCAGCCCTTCACAAAACCAATAGCTTTTATTTAAACTCATCAAATTTAACATATCTGACAAATCTCTGCTATAACATGCCAAGACCAACAACTACTCTGTCAAGTAATCAAAGCTTTCCATTTCACTGATAAAGGAAAAAACACCACAGCAAAGGAAAAGAATATTACAGGGTTTTCTTTAATTAGTTCAGATTTAAGCCTTCCATTATAGCCTCAAAATAAGTAAAATATTACAACAACATACTTTGGTAAGTCAGAGCACAAAATATGCCCACTGACATATTTTAGAGAATGAATCAATGAAGCACAGGCAGAATTCACATATACTTACATTATTTCAAAAAATTAACAGCCTGGAAAAACACAGGAGGGAAAACACAACTGTAGCATAACAATAACTTTTGTTTCAACTACTTGTACTTGTACATAAACTACAATCAATGCCTTCAGGATAGTTTCTTGCTTTATATTTATAAGAAGTAGGTATTACTGGTTTATTACACTCCATTTCATAGATGGATTACACAACATTTAGGTTATTATCTTGATGTGTTTTCCTTTAAACTTGACCATAACTTTTGAGTAAATAAACCATCAACTGAATTGTTGCCAACAGCAAAAAGAAAACTCTACTTTAATAAAGACTAGAAAAATGGTCTGTTGATTTTACAGTCTGACGTAGCAGAGATTTTCAAGCACACAGATAGCCTCCTCAATTTACAGTATTGTACAGGTGCTAAAATCCCTTTTAAAAATGAGTGAACACTTTTAGAAGTTTATTGTTGCACATTTCACTGTGTTTCTTTCCCTCTCCATGTATTGGGTTTGTATAGCAAGGTTTGGGTAGTGGAAAGATTACAGGAACCCACAGTGGAACTGGTTTCCTGGTAAAACTTGTGACCCTGGCAGAGGCCCACAGCAACAGGCTGTGCCTGAAGAACTGCACCCCACATTGCAACACTCTGGGGAGGGCTGCTGCTCGTGGGATGGACTCCCATTGAAAAAATGTATGGAGAACCGTCTCCCACGGGAAGGACCACAAGCAGAGGAAGGATTCTCCTCCTTGAGCAGCAGCAGGAACAACACGTGATGAACTCACCATAATCCCCATTCTGTGTGTCCCTGCAGTGCTGTGGGGAGGAGGCAAGGCTGGGAAGGTTGGAGTGGTGGGAGGGGGGAGGGAGTTTAAGGTCTCAATGTATTTCTCATTATTCTGCTCTGACTTTGTTATCAATAAATTCAGTTAATTTCCTCAATTCCAGTCTGTTTTGCCCATAATGGTATTTAATGTGTGATCTTTCCCAGTCTTTATCTCAACACATAAACCCTTCATTGTATTTTCTCTCCCATGTCCAGCTGAGGAGAGTGACAGAGTAGCTTTGGCAGGTGTCAACAATCCAGCTAGAGTCAACCCACTACAGGCTGTTTTCTCATTTTTGATTTTTCTTCTAAGTAACCATCTGAAAAAAAAAATAAAAACCAACAAAATCTACTTTGTTATTACTTCCTTAAAGATGGAAGTAATATCACTCTACTAAAGAGATGAGCTTTTTAATTTCCACTAATACTATGGCAATATAATCTGGCAGCCTACCCCTGTTTTTACACTTGCTAATGAAAATAATGATCCAGATAATGAAGAATCTGGATATACTCCAAGCTGGTTATTCTCTAGCACCTTTCTTTTCTTCAAATAATTACCATGGTCTCATTCAATTTCCAAGCACTGCATTGACAATTTTGTGTATTATTGGCACTTAAAAGATCATCAATAAGCCTTGATTTTCCCTGCCACAAACACGAAGGAAAAACCATGTGTGGCACAGAAGACCATGGCTTTTCATCTGTTCTTTTCCATCTCTGCAGATCCCTTTTGGTCTCTAGTTTCAGGTGGACAGTTGTCTCCAGTCTGTATTTCTAAAAGGCTCTTTGAGCTTCCTTCTGGCTGTAACACCTATGGAGCAAGAGGCACACGCAGCTCGAGTGAACCTCTGCCTTCAGGCACCAGGCCTCACTCTGCTGTATGATGAGCTGCAGCTGCTCCCTCCTCTCCCCATCCCTCAACACCTGGAAAACTGCTCCAAACTCAGACAGGTTCAGTGACTCTTGGAACCTCTTTCTCCAACGAGATCCTATCCCACACAGTTCCTTTTATCCTCCAGTAAGAAAAAGAGATGGAGGAATGGAGGGGACTTCACATCTGCCAAGGGAAGGAGAAAGGGGTGCAGCCAGGGAGGGGAGTAGCATCTACTGCTAACTGCTGAGAGGCAGGATTTTGAGATACTGGGGTAACTGGGAGAAGGTGAGATATGGTAAGCAGCAAGTTTGTCTGCGAAGAAGTTCTGAGAAAATTAATTGAGCTTGACTAGTAAGAAACAGTATTTTAATATTGATATAATTTTAATGTAAAATTTTAATTTTAAATTTTGCTTGGGACTTTTGCTGAGTTATGAAAAAATGCCTTGGACACAAGCGGCCTCCATACAAGCTACCACGGCCAACAGTCTGGGCAGTACTAAATGCCTCCTGTTCCAGAACTCATGGCTACCCTTGAACTAAATTTCATCCGAGAAAGCCCAACAGCCTCAGGCCATTCAGCAGGCCCACAGAACTCCAGTGAGTAGACTGCAGGTGCTTTTTCTCCTATGTCAAAGATCCCTTCAAGGAGTGCTCCATCCTAGCAGCTTGACACCACTTCCCACCTCAAGCAGAGTCAGTCTAACGGGGTCTGTGCTGCAAAGCAGCACCACCCTCCTTCTCTGCCAAGATTTGGCAGTGGGCTCCTCACCTCAAGATGGAAACCTCTCTTTTTTGAGCTAGTTTACATCCCTCTTGTTCCTGCAGGTTACACACAGCAGCTCCTGTCTTGACATGTTTCAGTGCAGAGGAGGAGCCAAACAAGGATCTAACCAATAGTACGGGATCAGAAAGGGGACTGAAGACAGATACCACCACTGCACAGTACTTCCAGAAAATATTTTGTATTCATTTAGAGATACAGAATTTTCTCTTGGTCTTCTAGGGTACCTTCAGATGACTTACGTATCACCAGGCAATAAGCTGTGCACTCTCCAAGTATCCAGAAACAAACCACGAAATAGCAATTCCTTTAAAGCTAATTGGTTAAAATTTGAGAACTAGAATGGCATCCACAAAGTAACAGAAGACTGTTGCCCTACTTCAGTGAATTTGTTTCTATTGCAAATTTCTATTCTATACTTCTAGATCAAGTAAGCACTCATTTTTAACCATCTGTCTCCCTACAGATGATATGTAATTCTCTCTCACATCTGCATAAGCACAGTATTATAAAGGTGAGCTTAAATCTGCCCTTTGATTTATTCACATTTCATCTTTGGCGTGCTAGCCGATTCTGAAAAATCTTTCTGATGTACTATTCAGTACTTTAATTTAGTGCAGCACAGAGTAATTCATTATTGCCTAGCAAACTTCCCAAAATCTTGTCAACTTAAAATACTAAAAACAAAACAAGAATGCAAAATGAAAAAAGCAGAGTGCAAACTCACTCTCTGATACAAAGACCCTGAAATAAGAAATAATGGGAAAATAAGCAAAACTAAAATGCAAAAGAGCTGCCACAGTCAGAGATTACTCACCCATATGCTCCATTACTAATCAGTTTAATTGTTTCAAAATCACTTTCCCGAGGCTTCCTCTGCAGCTTCAGTGAGGTATTAGAGCTCTTCAAAGTAAGAGATGAGAATGAACAAAGTTAATAAAATACTTTTTTTCAGAACTGGGGAGAAAAAACCCAAACAAAAAACCAACTATCACCAGGCTGTCACACTGATGAACCAGGTAAAAGTTCTGGACAGCCAGCCACATAGCCAACACGGAGAGGGACCAAGGGGCTCCAGAAACAGAGCTGCTTTTTCATGAAACAGGTATCTGCTGCACTGCAGCAAACTGTCTACTTCTCTCCATGCACAGGTTACAGTCACCAAGGCTTCTGATAAAGTAGCTACTGGCAATTCTTATCTTGAGTCATGGACTTCTGTGAATTCCACATGGCACTCGTTGGACACTGCCTTCCCATTCTAGTAAATCTGACTTTTGTATTACAGCTGGTAGCAGCAAACTGATGATGAGCCCTTGTTCACTCAAATAAACTGGGCACACTTCAAACTAATGTTAGGATAGAGCGTGATACAACAGGGAGGATGGTGAAAAGAGACAAAATTAAAGAGAAAAAGATGGAAAATAAAAACACATTAGTTCTACCCCTAAAGAGGCCACTTTAATCTACTTCTTTGTCAGAACTTTTTCAACACCAAGTTGCCCTCAGTATGGCAAAACCTTTTTTCTAGTTTAAATTTTTAATTAATCTTGAAGATGTGTGAATTAGAATTGGGGTTCAGGGGGAAAAGATGAAGGCACCGGACTCCAAATGCAGACTTCCAAAACCACAAGATCTTTTTCAAATGTCTTTTGAATCTCTAAGAAATTCCATGATCCTTACCCAGGCAGTTTAGTAACAGTTGGAAGTTGAAAGTAGAGCTGGTTTAAACATTTTCAATTAAGTGCTAAAAAAAATTCAGTGCAAGACTAGTGAAATGTTAATATAATGAACTACACAGGAAGTAACAGAGAGGACTTAGTAATTGTTCAGCCCACTTGTCTGTCAGTACAGGATTCTTTCTAATTGGTATTTATGATGTCTGTGAGCACTTGGAAGTTACAGATGGTTCCTGTCACTCCCCATGTGTGTTTATTCCACAGCTACATTTTGAGATGTTTCCAAATATACCCTCCATAGTTTTCTTTGGTGATTTCACCATCTCCCCTATTTACATTCCTTCATTATACCACATTATTCTTTCTGAATTTCTTCAGCATTTGCACAAGACAAGTAACTTCACAATTTCAACTGCTTAGGTAACGTTGAGCCACTTTGCACCTTAGATTCAGTTACGTACTTTGGCCTTCCCTTAAGCCTTCTAGTTATTTTGTCCTTTCCCCAGTTTGTCAGTAAATGCTGCTCAGGTCTAATAAAATATTTCAAATGTAGATGAATTAAAGCAGCAAAAATATCTTCTATGTCAATTGCAGAATCCTTCACAAGTGGCACTTTGCCAAATATAAGAAAATATCCCAATATAACATGACATGTACCAGAGAATGATGTTTTTTCCTATGTATTAGAACAGGTCTAACAGATAACCCATGCCTGATAACATTTGTAAATACTTGTTAAAGTACCACTGAAATACCTAGACATCCCCTAAAACTGCTCTTGTTTTCACTATCCACTTGCACTGAAAATGAAGACTAGGTTGTAGTAACTTCATCTACTCTGTTGACTGAAATCCAAGGTGTAAGAACCAACTTTTAAAAATAAGATTTTAAAATAATCGCATTTAAGCTCAAAATCAACGCGTCCAACTTGCTTTACTTTTGTCATCCTGAGCAAACATCTAACAAAATACTATTGTAAGATACACAACGTGGTAGGCAAGTGTTTTCAAAAACAGATTCAGAAGAATGATGCACAACCTTTCCAACTGTAAACTAACTTTCTGAATGCAGCCTATTTGCTAGCATACTCATTTCTTCCTTCTCTCTTCACTGGATCTGTTAAGAATTTCTCAATTTCATCATTAGTTGCCTCTGTAAATGGACTGTTTTAAAACCTCTTTAAAATACATTGTTTTATTAAACAGTTTACCAATACTTCTTAAAAAAAAAAAAAAGAACACATTGATTTAATAGAAAAAAAGAAAGCAGTGGTGGATTTTGTGGTAAAGTTATTGCCATATGGTAAACACTAACTTTGTGGAATATGAAGACACTGAGATGTCTAGAAAAATAGGCAGAAGGCTTGGTTATACCTTTTGAAAGCCTTCTGCCTGACGAGCTTCACAGAGTTAGCGTTGAGTATTAACCAATGTTTACTCAATCTGTTCGCACATACCAGGAGAAACCAGAACAGGTAGGGTTGGGGGAACACAACAGATTTTCCTTGTTCACATTCAGCAAAAGAAGCAACATAAGAGGGAAGCTTACATTTATCGATTCTTCTGTTTCCAGAGTGTCTGCTGTCCCACTGTCACAATTAGCTAGCTGAGCTATTTCTGGAAAGAAAAATTAAAAACTTCATTTTAAACTATGGAAAGTAAAAAACTAAATGAAGCACAGAAAACATAAGAAGTGACATCTTTCTGGAATACTTAATAGAAAATTTTAAAAAATTAAAAAATTAAGAACAAGGCCAAAAGCAAAACAACAACAACAACAAAACAAACAAACCCTGTAGCACTTGAAAAATAACTTTCAGGGCATCTCCAAGCATATGTTAAAAAATCCACTCAGGAAAGAGTGCTTGCTATTCAGTGCCTATGTAATAATCTTCCACTGAAGCAATGAAGATTAGCCATGAAGCAATGAAAAGCAGTATCATTTTCACTGCTGAGACCTGGGAATTCCAAGAGCTGTGCGCAAAGTGTGCACTAAGGGAAAGACGGCACTAATCTGCTGAAACTCCTGAGGATTTCACCCTCTGAGGGGCTAACAGTAGGCCCCATCCTTGGGCTCCTTCACAGTTACAGCAAAAGCTTCTAGTTTAAACCTAAGACAGGACTCCAAATAGTTTGCTTCTTCTACAAAGAAATGCTGCTAAGCTTACCAGAACAAGCTAAAAGTCATTTTCATGGAAGCTTATCACTTACAGTCACTAACACAGATAAATTCTCTGGGAAAATAAGATTTTAGAAGCCTACAACTTTATCAGATTGTCTCTGCTCCTGTCAACCTATGCTGCAGAGCTCCCAATCCCAGTCTGTTCTTCAGAGTAGGTAGTAACCAAGAATTCATCTGGGTAAAAAAAAGCCACACAGGACAGCCAGTCACTAAAAGGCCCATACACATATTTAACTATGTATCCTACATAGCCAAAGATGCAAATTCTATTACAATTATGTCTTCCGAATCAGAAATAAGACCACATAAAATTTGCAAGACTAGTTTTTATCTCAAGACTGTTAACTGAATTTATGATGATGAAATATAACTGAATATTCACACAAAATACCAAAACTGGATTTTTCTATATAAAAAGAAATTATTATTAAAAGTGAAATGCTCTGCAACACTTTCTGCAATTTTTAAAGCAAATTAAGCACACAGATAATTTTCTTTTGGAACAGCTAAAGATTTAAGGAGTAACTGTCATTTGTAACCACTATACAAACCAAAACATGGTAACTGTAAGAAACAGAAAAAATTCAAGTGTCACTTCAAAATCCAAACAGATCTTTAAAGTGTTAAACAAGCTAAAAAATATTCCAAAAATTAAGTCCATAAACAGTGAAAAATATCCCCACTAGAACAAACAAAATCTTAAAGAAAAATCTTATATAGGCTGAACCTGAAGTGGATTTTCCAGTCAAAAGTCACAGTTTTGTGAACACAGGGCTTTCAGAATACAAGAGCTGATGAAATCTTTATTGTACAGGCAAGGACCAAGAGAGCTGGAGTAATATACTTTGACAGTCTTCTCAACTGAAATGACTTTCATAAATAACAAATTAAAACAATCCTTTTTGAAACAAAACTTCTGCAAAATAACCATTATCTGAGAAATCCATATTATTTGCAAGCAGTAGGTACTAATGGGATGGAACCAAAAGTCAGCTTGCAAAACAGGGATCTATGGAACCATTTTGCAGTGCCTGAAGAGATTTTTCAAGCCCATCTAAATACCATTAAACATCTGTCCTTTTTCTTCCATTGATTTAAACCTTTTCTGAAGGCTCATGATTCAAAAAGGTAAAGATGGTAATTTAAAAAACATGGGGAGAAATTTCTCCCCAGGGAACTCTTCAGAAATGCAGCCATCTCTCTCTGCTAAGTGATTAATCTGTTGTGGTATTGCTTTCACTAAAGTATAAATTTATCTAGCATCATCACCAAATAATACAAGCATCATTTCACTCAAACAAAGGACACTACAGCTATGACAGCAAACAAAGGAAGCAAGGAGAGAAAGATCTAAAGTAGGTTGCTTTTTCCTGCAGATGAAAGAAAATCCTTTGCATGAACATTGAAGACACAAATTAACATCTTGGTTGAAAATATAATTCTGTGTTACAGGATAAGTAAGTAGTGCAACTGCAGTGCACTCTTTTTGTTTTGAAAAACTTGGCTCTGCTTTTTAAAATTTTCTATTTTTACATAAAAGGGCTTTAAAGTTCTTGAGGATGATATTCCCAGGATATTTTTATAGTAATGAATGCAGTGCTCCCATTAATTCTCTCAGTAAACCACTAATTCCAGGGCACAAACCCACAGTGTCCCTCTTTCATTGCTGCTTAAGTAGCATCTCTATATATAGAGACATCCATTAACATCAAAACTAGATCATCTAAGAAGTCATTGCACAGTGATTTATACTGCTTATAAATATTACTTTTTTTGGTGTGTGGGAGGAAAGCATTAACACAAATCAGATGGCCTAAATTACCTACTACATATAATCCTATACATTAATCTTAAAAAAACCCAAACCACTAAATAATTCAATTTCTCAAATCTCCAATTGAACCAAAAATCAGTAATCCATAGGTCATACACTCCTCAGTATTTAGTGTCAAACCACACAGAACATTGTTCCCTTCAGAAAAAACAAACCAAACCCCAACATTTCAATTATCATTTGAATGCTTTGAAGTTCTTATATTCATTAATATTCAGTTTATGAAATATAGTAAGATGTGTCCTAGATGAAGTATGCTCCCATTAAACAAATAGTTAGTTAAAGAAAGCAGTATTCCTTATTTATATATAGGCATTTGTTTCTAGACTTCTCTTAAAATAAACTGTCCAAAACCCAATTCAAAGTTGTTATTAAACATGGGTAGTGACAGATTCTTGACTACTGCTTAGGAACACTTTTATCCAAGTGGCAAGGAAGAGTCAATGAGAAAGATAAGGTTCAACTGGCAGAACCAGAGTCAATAATACAAAATTCTCAACCCACACTCCAAACTAAATCTTGCATACTTGATCAATGATGAATTGATGAATTGTCAGTTTAGGACAGACCAACAGCTCACCAAATCCTGAAGACAATGTTTATCTTGCAGAGAATTTCAATACTTCTTGATTTTTTCCAAAACCAAAAGGAAAAAGTATTTATGCGTATTTTCCTAATTTGTCTGGCTTCCTTTGCTGCAGTCCAAATATAAACAAAAAGCATCAAAGCTGTTAATCTGTATCTCAGACAAAAAATAATTCTAAATTTGGATGAGGAAGTTCTGTGAAGATAGGAAGTGGACTAATAATAGGCTTGACTTTGTTTAGATTTGTTAATATAACATTAATATAATCTGTAACAATACTCAATCTAACTGAATTAGAACTAACCAAATTCCTGATACAACTAGCAGTGCTGAACTTTGCTTTAGCTCAGCAGCAGGGTTTTAAAACACAATATACTACTCTAATTTAATAACATATGTTCTAACATCATGAAAGCTAGCACAAAAAAGGTTTATCATAGTTTTTTGCTATGATTTTGTGCTATCAAGCCCTTTCCAAGTCCTGGTTGGTAACACCAACAGACAAGCTAATTGGCACCAGCTAGGATCATTTTTCCATTATGGCATTTCTGCCAATTTCTTCCAAGTTGCAGAATTAGTATTGAATACAATGAACCGATTTCTATTTGTCACCACTGTTAGAACCTGGTCTCAGGGAGGCAAAGATGATCTGGCTAGGACACAGAAGTAATTCTAGTTTTTTCAATGCTGTCCTTCAAAAAACCATAGAATGCCTTGGGTTAGAAAAGACCCTGAAGATCATCTTGCTCTAAGCCTTCCACCAGGGCCTGGGACACAGAATCACAGTATCAGATGAGCTGGAAGGGTCCCAAGAGGATGATAAGTCCAGCTCCTGGCCCCATCCAGGACCACCCCCAAGAGTCACACCATGGGCCGGAGAGCATTGTTCAACGCTTCTTGAACCCAGTCAGGTTGGTGCTGTGACCACTTCCCAGGGGAGCCTCTTCCAGTGTCCAGCCACCCTCTGCATGAAAAACCTTATCCAACCTAACCCCCCCACCCCAACACAACTTCACACCAATTCCTTCAGACAGATCCTGTCACTGGTCACCAGATCAGTGCCCCTCCTCTTCCTCTCAGGAGGAAGTTGTGACTGCAATGGTGTCTCCCCTCAGTCTCCTCCAGGCTGAACAGACCAAGTGTCCTCAGCCACTCCTCATCCTGCTTCCCCTCAGTGCCCTTCACCCCTCCATGCCCTCGCTGGACACTCTCCAGTGCTGTCCTTCTCACACTGCAGCACCCAAAGTGCCCCCAGCGCTGCAGGTGAGGCTGCCCCGGTGCAGAGCAGAGCAGAGCAGGACAATCCCTCCCTTGCCCGGCTGCTGATGCTGTCCCTGATGCCCCACAGGACACGGGTGGCCCTCCTGGCTGCCAGGGCAATGCTGGCTCATGTTCAGCTTGCCATCAGCTTGCCCAGGGCCCTTTCCATGGCACTGCTCTCCAGTCTCTCATTCCCCATCTGTCGGTACATCCAGGGTTGCTCCATCCCAGGTGAAGAATCTGACACTTTCTCTTGTTGAATTTGCTATGGTTGATGATTGCCCAGCCCTCTAATTTTCAAGGTCTCTCTGCAGGGCCTCCCTGCCCTTGAGAGAGTCAACAGCTCCTCTCAAGTCTTTTGTCATCTGCAAACTGGCTTCGTATCCCTCCCAGCCCTGCCCCCAATCATTTCAGAAGATGCTGAAGAGCACAGAGCCTAAGGTGGAGTCCCGTGGAACCCATCTAGTGACAGGTCACCACTCTGATGTCACCCCATTCACTGCAACCCCTTGTACCTGACCCATGAACCAGCTACTCTCCCATCACACGATGTGCTTGCTTATCCAGCTGTGTGCTGGACATCTTGTCCAGCAGGACACTGGGAGAGACAGTACTGAAAGCTTTACTGAAATCCAAGAAGATGGACATCAATTGGCTTCCCTTTACCAGCTAGGTGTGTTACCATGTCACCTTCCACTAGACCACACTGCTCAGAGCCCCATTCCGTCCAGTCTTAAACACTTCCAAGGATGGGGCACCACCACTTCTTTGGGCAACATGTTCCAGTGTCTCACCACTTTCACAGTAAAGAAAAATTCTGCAGTGATAACCTCTCCACTGGAACCCAAGTTCTCCCAACAAAAACCCCCAACACAGACTCAAATTACACGGAAAATTAACAGGATAGTCTTCTCAGAGACTCCTCCAAGATGAAGGAACCTGGGAGCACTGAAAGGCAAACAACAGCTCAACCAAGGGACCTTCATAACTGTGCTTAGATGACAGTCACCATCAAATTATCCCAGTAAATTCCAGCTATGACGAAGTTGCACTGCACTGTCAAGCTGGAAGAAGATGAGAGGTTATCATTGATACAGTGTATTTGTTAATGATATCTGCAAAAAAAAAAAAGATCCTGTTCAGAAGAGATGGCCTTTTAAATGTGTTTGTTTGAGCTTGGGAGAGTACAGTTGATGTCAGAAAACACTTGCTCTGCTACCATCTTTAACTTGACCCTTTTCAGGTATCAGAATGATAGAACACATTGAGAAGGAAGAACCTAGAAACCTATAGCTGCACCAGGAGATTCACTTACCTTCCAGAGGATCTTTATTTAAACCCAGCTGGCTAATAATGTATCGAGGGATGTCTGTTTTAATGCCTTGCCCCTCTTTAGCATGGCCTTCAGCTGCTTCCAAAAGATAGTAAAACTCTTCAGGATCAAATTCCTAGAGGAAAAATAATCGTCATCATTTTCTCTATTGAAATTGGTTCCTTAGGGTCTAACATAAAAAGTTCCTTTGCTTCTTGTAACTCCACATATATGGCATGTTCCTACTAAGAACAGTACCTCTTTATTCTACTAATAGTACTCTATTAATCTGTTCTGATTCTTATATAGTGTAACACAATGTAAGCAATGGAACTGCATGTCACTATTTTAGAGCAAAAATTTATATAGATAATATATTATTTCCCATCAAAACTTCATGTAATACTGAGTGAAATGTCCTATAAGAAGCAAAAATAAGATTTCAGAGAGAAGACTATCTTCCCGCATGTGTTTGCTTACAAAAATCTATGACAACCATGTAAATATATTGCACTACACTTTTTACTTCTCAAATAATAACTTCAAGTATTTCTAATCAATATATATGTTCTGTGTTTTATGGAAAATACAATTTTAAAAATCACTAGCTTTAGAATGAAGATTAAATTGAAATTTAATTTAAAAAATCTGAGCTTCATTGATCCAATTGTTTCAAATTCAGAAATTAAACATTCTCCTGTGGGAACTAACTATATTACAACTATCACTTATACCAAAAAGGCAAGCCTCAACAAGGAACACAAATGAACAAAAGGAATAGAAACTCGAAACGCTACGCCCAAGTCCCTTGGAATACATTTGTTTTACTACCTTTTATAGAGTATAAAAAGAGAAATACATTGAAAGGAGCAAAGAAGATTATTAAAACAATGTGAGTGGGATTTTTTAACACAATTTCTCTCCCTACTGGCATAAATTCATACTAAAACATCAGTTCATAGTTATTGCGCTCTTCGAGGCGTTTGTGCCTATAGGTGCAATCCTTAACAGAGTAACAGCCATCAGTCATTAACGTAATAAAATACATTTTTTCCTCCAGTAGGTCAGCTCTGTCACAAATATCTGTAGAGGCCAGGCAGACTGCTGAGATAGCTAATTTCCTGACTGTTTTGCAACCAAACATAACACCGTGGAATTTTAGACTACATGTTGAGTCACAAAGCTCCTGTCCTAAATCCTCAGGCTACTCAGAACTTGTAAAGTCAATATCCTGACCCAGAAGACAGCTTCTGAAGACAGCTTGAGAAATTTGGTACCATGCTTCATTTTGCAAGCATCAAAACTGCTGCAGCTAAAATGAGCAGGTGCACCGTGTCTGAAATAAAGTATCTTTAGAATTTCCAGTCTTATGGAAACAATCTTAGTTTTACACAGTTCATGAAACAATCTTCATCATGTACAACCTACTGCAAAGGACTTAACAGTGAACCCATGAACTGTTGAAGCTGCCTAACTTTATTAGCCCAAAGTCACAGGATGCTGCAAACCTGCCCAAAAACCTGAACCAATAACTAAACAGTACATGCTATTTCAGGCTTAACTCTCCTCATCTTACATGCCATCCCCAGATGTATCTCTTACATGTTATTCTTTGGCACTAAAGCAGCCAACAGCACGATGTTGTGTGCCAAGACTTCTATTTACTTTTGTCATGACAACGTTATCATCTCCTGACCTGCTGCAGTGACAGATAAACAGCTTCTCCTCCACTTACTAGCAAGACAAGGCAATTTCAAAACAGGTAACTTTAATCATATGAATGCGTAAGTGTGTTTGTGTGTACAATGATCTAAGACACACATATACATACACAGGTCTGAATAATGAGAAGCAATAAATTATTTTCTGATCTTCACTTTCAAATCTTATTTCATTTTCCATATACAAATGGAGAAAGAATATTTAAATAATTGGCAGTAGCTCTTATCACATATGAAACTGTAAAACCTTTATTCATATGATTATCAAGTAAACTGATATAGGATTTCACATGCTATGAACAGCTGAGACAAGACCACCATCAGAAAACTTTACCAGCTTTACTGCATGGTATCTGAAATGTCTGATGACCATGAAGCTAGAATTTTATCTTACAATTTTATTAACTTTCTTACAGAGGCTGAAGTTTTCCACACCTAGTATCTATTTCAGACAGATATTCTAAAATACCACACAGTAATATTCAAAAGTTTCTAGAGATATGCTACAGAAAAAAATACTGTCTCTGTAAGTTTACAATTATGTTTATGATCTAGGCTTAACATCTTCTTGTATGAAAAACATATTGTTTGTTGACTGTAGGCCAAAATTTGTTCAAGCTGCCTGTATCTGCAGAAACATATGATGCAGGGTTGTCACAACCCAGTTTAAGCCCCCTGAATATCGTGTTTTAAGTGAGAACACTAGAAGCAAGCTGTGCTGGCTTTCCCTGCCACTGCTGCTCTGAAACTCAATTATGAGACACAGTCACACCTGGACTTTGCACCACTGTTCTTCCACCCACTTCAGCATTCCCAGCAAAAGGAGGGGTGCAGGATGCACATCATTCTATTTGAAGGATAAGGCAGAGCAAGTAGCCTAGGATAAAATCCCAGTGGCATAAAGTGGGAACTAAGTGAATGGACTAGGTCCCATTAAAACTTAGTACTTAGGGAGAATAAACTAATAGGCAAATAGACCACCAAGAGAGAACTTGAATTGGAACCACAGAATCATCATAGTTCAAAGAAACCTTTAAGATAATTCAGTCCAACCATCCACCCAGCACCACCACTGTAACTTCTAAACCACTGAATCATCACCCAGCATGAGATCCAAACACCTCTTGAACACTTCCAGGTAACTCCACCACCTCCTACACAACCTATTCCAATGCTTGACCACTCTAACAGGGAAAAAAAATTCAAACATGTAATCTGAATCTCCCCTCTCTCAGTTTAACGGTACTTCTGGTAGTTCTGCACACATCATATGAGAGACCAGCTCCCACCTGGCACCTTCCTTTCAGGGAGCTGTAAGAGTGATAAGGCGACCCTGAGACTCCTCTTCTTGAGACTAAACAAACCCAGCTCCCTCAGCTGTTCCTAGATATATTTTCTAGACTCTTCATGAGTCTTGCTGTCCTTCACTGGATGCACTCCAGCACCTCAATTAGAAAACTAATAGAGAATGATGATGCTGGGAACAAAGGTTGATGAGAGAAAGCTAGCAAGCCTGTAATGGAAGGTGTAAAGTATTATTAAGAAGTCCTGACTGCCTACAAGATGTATTAAAAAGCATTTCTGGATGTGTGATAATAGACAAGAATGCAAACCAGAAAGGAAAAAAACAAGGATATGAGAAACTGGATGATGTGCAGAAATATATAAACCCTGTAAATAGAGCAGGGAACAACGCACTAGACATGGAATGAACTTCTCAGGGAGAGGAGTAAAACAAGTTTGGATTCAACAGCAGAAGCAGGACATGCTAAGATGTCCTTCTCTCTAAAGCCTTCCTTTTTATTTGTTTTGGTTGTTTTTTTTTTAAACATCCCTCATCTCTTTCATGTTGATTCAGAGCACATATCTTATTTTTACTTTCCTTCTGAACTGCAAATCACAAACAAAAAAGCAACTGGGAACACTGAGGCTTGGTGTTTCCAAAACAAAGTAGAGGCAGCTCTCAAAATGCCCGTGGCTGAACGAGCCAGGGTGTGGATTAACTGTGCCACAGATGAAGGGACTCAGCACAAAGCCAAAATCAGGCTGGAAATACTTACTAGCTAGCTTATTAGTTCAGATTCAGTGTGACGCAAATGCAGTTATGACAATTTCAGGCATAACCTGAGTCTAGCAGGCGGCTGGCTTCCACATAAGGCCTGCCAGCCTCAAATGGCTGTATGCAGCATCAACACTGATCTTATATTGGCAAGCAGAGCGGCTCAAAATCAGCTCAGGCTGCCTGCCAGGCCTTTTGGACTCGGGCTGCCTCTGGCATGGCATTTGGGTGCCTACACCATCCTCCTGTGTACACTGTGTTCTGCAAGTGTTTATTAGTTCAACTGAACAACTGAAGAACACTGGCTCCGTGTGTGCAACTTCCTGCACCTGAGCCATCCCAGCTCCCACAGCACGGGCAAGAAAAGCAGAAACATGCCCACACAGCACACACAGTCTAACCCAGTGTGGCAACTTCGGTGCTATGGTCATGCATAAATAAATCGACTGTTCTGCTCCTTCGGGTCCCCACTAGAACACAAACTGCCTGTGTATCTAGACAGCCTAATCCCTCTGCTGCTCTTATCACCAGATCAGGTACTGCAGAACTGACCTCAAGCTGTTTATAATTCTGGCACTTGTTGAGTGCAACAAAATTATGAAACTATTAAGAAATGAGAAAACCACTAAGCAATTACAATTCTGGAGCAGTCTTCCCTAGAAATGGAGAAGTCTAACAAAACAACAGGAAAAGCCAACTGGGTTTAAACAGCAGCTTCCTCAGTTGATGAAAGGGATTCTATACTGTAGTATCTGCAATAGCAGGGAATCAAACAAAACTGCAGGAGGGTCCTGCCAGTACACTATATCCAATAATTGAAGTGGAAAGGATCCCACTAACAATGAAGCCCTACCACACTGTTTGACATGTTCCAAAAATCAATTGTAAAGAACCTTGAATAGTAAATCAGAGAACTGCCTGCACTACTAAGTGAAAAACACTACCTACTAAGTGAAAACATAGTAAGCATGACCTTACCAGGCATTCCAGTAAGCGAGCAGGACGAGCAATAACTATCAAGATTTTGCGAACAAGTTGTTTAATAAATGCCATTTCTCCACTCTCTGATCGCTCTTGAGCCTAAAAGATAAAAAATAAAGTCATATTGAACCAAATCACATTCAATGCACTGCTTAGGAAAGCAGTGATATTGAGGACATCTGTAGGGTCTGAAGCATGTACGTGATAGGAACTGCGCATCAATTTCAAGATGCTAGCAGAGATAACAAAGATCTGAGTAACACTGTAACTTCTGTTCAAATAATTCCAGCTTTAAAACTCTAACACTGTAACTACAAAAGTGCTGCCTTCTTTTTTTTTTCTTCTTTCTTAAGCTTACACAGTGTAATTACCACCAGTTTTGGAAATGGATACAATGTATCAATACAGCTCAACACCGATCTATACATGCAGGTTGCGCCTCAATTTGTTAACAATGTTAGGCTGAAATGAAAACTAACATAAATAATAGTGATAGATATAAGCAACATCTATCCCAAATTTATACTCTCTTTTGGTCAGTCATAGGAAAATGACAATTTATATGCATATATACATATTAAAAAACCTTTACTTGGAGATAGGCTTCATCTAAAGGTACATGTAGAAAGGATGACAATGAAAACACAAAAGAGAGGGGGAAGTGCTATAGAATAATACATACAGAAAATATCCTTCTAGAAGATTTGACAACATCTGCACAATGGTCTGAGCTGCATTTCAAGTTTCTTTTAAATGTTCCCCTCTAAGAACAAATTACATTATTAAGGGATGCTAGTGAATGCAAAGCAACTGCAAAATTCTCCTTCTGATTAGAATATACTAATAGCTTTCGCCTTAAATATCAAACATTTCCTTGCTCGGAACAGCAGAACTCACAGACTTGTTTCTCAGCATCTCTTGCTTATTCAAAACCACAAAGAAAATTAATAAACTAACCCTTAAAAATTATTACTACAGACCAATAAGTACTTTTCCTATAACACATTACATTTCTGGAAAAAAAACCTGTATGAAAATAGGAAACTATGCATATTGCTCTTAATGTAAATACCACAATTTTAAAAATCACCAAATATATGAGAGGAATTAATTTATGGAGTTTAAAAAAGGAAAGCTTTTACAAATATAATCTAGCTGTCTCCAAAAGGTTTCAGAAGTACCTGAACTGGACAGAAGCATAATTTTGAACATTTTCAACTTAGCCCAAATAAAACTCTTTTGTAAACAGAACACCTGTCTTTTTAGCCACCAACAACATTTAAAGCACCTTTGTTGAGTTTTACGAACACTCAGGTGCCTTGGTGAACAAAAGATTCAACACATATTACATTTAAGGAGGATGAAGCAGGAAAGCATTCAGGTCCACTTGACCTTAAAATTCTGAAAGTTTTGGGTGAACCAAGCTGCTTTCACCTCACAGGAGTCTTCCCCTAGTTAAAGTAACTGCACAGTGCCAAGCAGCAGCAGGAAATGCAGCTTTCTACTGAAGATTGAGGGTGGGAATTAACAACAGACAAATCACATGAAACCAAAGCACAACGAAATGCCCGTAACAAAGTTGGGCAAAAAAAATATTTTCATACAGTCATATCATGCTATTAACAAGAAGCAAGTAATGGACTGAAAAGTTAAGTCTGAATTTTTTAAGGTATGTCTTTGCAGAACAGGAATCTTTTTCATAATAAAGAATTAACATCATAGAATATGACAAAATGAGTGGCTTGGTGATTTTTTTCCTTTATATGCAAGTTGAAGAATAATGTGGTGACCTGTTTTTTAGCAAGTTTTGGGAGAGGCATTAGTGAACACATATTCTAAACTCAACATTTTAAGGTACATATTGTTAACGGTGGTTCAGCAAATCCCAGCTTAGACATGTTTTCTGGTATTCTGACATTATCAACTGGCCAATTCTGTCTGCACTTTGGCATGGCAGAACTATGACCATTTCATAAGAAGGTTACTGGTTCAAAGCTTCCTCTTGACTAGTAAGCAAACTCCAAGTATTTTCAATGTTTAAAAAACAGGCTTTCAACAATCCAGAATAAATTTACTGATGTCTTACATTTTTGTTTTGCTGTATGAAGAGGAAAAGTTCAAAAAACAGTAGTTTCAGAAATTCTATTTACTAAATAGAAATTAACAAAAAAGCAGAATAGGAAAAACAAAAACAAGAAAACAACAAATCCAAACAAACAAACACCAACAAAAACCAAAAAACCCCATGAAAACTCAACCAAAACTGCCTGTGTATTCAAAAGAAAGTAAAAGACCAATTAAGATAGGCACAGCATCTCAAGATATCAGCTGGAAAAAAATTCGATTTAATTTCAAATCTGCTGCTCTATCGCATTAATTTTGACTCATAACATACTATCAAATCCACACACAAATAACTGAGTATATTACATGTTGCATTCATTCTTCTGAAAAATGATACATTAATAAACTACAGAAACTTATGTAGCAGCATGTTTGTCAAGTTTTGAGTTCTTCTTAATTAATTTAGCTGATATTCTATTAAAGTTTTGACACATTTAGAAAAGAAATTTTTGCTGTTAATCAACATTTCAGCTATGAGAGGAATGTTACAAACAATTAAAAATAAATAATCTCTCACTAATGGAAAGCCAAAGGTTGCTGTCTGCTTTCTCAACTCAGTAGGGTTGATAAAAGGAAAGCGTGTATGTTACCTCATTTATTTAAAGTAAATGAAATAGCCAGCCCTGTCTGGGGCTTATGCACACACTTATGTAAGCAATCTACAATTTGCATTGCAGGACATAATCCTGTTGCTTCTAGAATCTTTTACAACCCAACTATTCCAGACCAATATGCCTGGGTGCCTTACAGTTTTTGCAGGAGTCATTATGAAGACTAAATCATCTTATGAATACCACTTTGACAATTACTTGAGTAAACAGACATGATTCAAGACAATATTCAAAAAACCCTAAGGCAAACAGATATTAACAGTTTTTCAGGCAAAGATACAGCAGTCCCATGGATCATACCTCCTGTAGCAATTTGTCTAATTTCTGCTGTAATTCAAGGAAGTATCGTGATGTGATGAGGCCCTGGTGAGATTTATCCAAACAATCTCGAGCCAGTTCTGTGATCTGATGGTGGGTAAAACTGAGCACTCCATCTGCCAGAGGAAGGGTGTTCTCTGGAGAATGATTTGTTATAATATCCTGAAGTCTCTCTTCCATCTGAGCTGTGGCCTATAGAAAAGTAGTTGTTGAACATATTAAATCAGCTCTACATGAAACTAACAGCCTTAAAAGTAATTTCTGACTCTACAACATTTCTCTACTGCCTAAGAATTTACCTAGCCAGAATGCACGAAATGACTGAAGCCAAAAGGCAAGTACACAAAGGCAAAGTGAGAGATGACACTTCTTCACACTACCAGTACAGAAAAGCAACAGCCTCGTTGTTCTACTACGCAGTTCCCCACTTTGTCTGCCCATGGTGATTACCTCTGCACTAATCTTGTGATAATCACTAACAGAACTAAAAAGCTTTTAAGTCAAAGCCAAAGTGGAAATATATAAAAAAGAAAAAAGATAATTCATAGGGGGTCTACTTTTCTCTGCTAAAACTGTGGATACTAGAGAGCAGAATATAGTCACTACTTTCAAAAAGGTTATTCCCAAAAAATATTTCACTGAGCAGAGTTTGAATGAGGCTCATTTGACTAATTAGAAGCACCACAGGCTCACAGGTCCTGCCAAACATGTCTGCAGGTTCCCAGATGCATTTGTTTTACAGAACCATATGTCTGGTTCTCACAGAACCGCAGATGCTTAAAAAAAAAACCTTTGAAGATATCATTATTATTAGTATTATTATTAAACAGTAATCCCACATGCCTTAGTTCACATCTCAAACAGTAAGATGAGTGAGTTCTGCACATTTCATATTGTTGCTCAATCACTCTGCAAATCCTGACAAATCTGTCTTTATATTTATATAAAGAAATGCAAAGAAGTTTCTCCCTTTTTAACTCACATTTTAGGAACAATACCTTGTTTTATTTTCCAGAGGTAACAAATCCTAGGAGCAACTGAGAGTATAGTGCTTCAAGCTGTGCACACACACCTGCACCTAGGAACTCATCTGTGTCTCAAGATATCTGAACAGGAAAGCAAAACATCCTCCAATCTCATAGTCAAACGCTCACATCTGTGTACTGATTTCATTAAGCGCATTAGATCAGTGCATATAATGCAAGTCAGGTATACAGCAAGTGTTTGGGAAAATGAAGAAATGGACTAACCAAAAGAATCTGCTGGTATATCACCAAAGCAGATGCTTCTCAACACTTAGCACTGAAAACTGGTTTTGATTTACTAATGCAGTATGCATTTGCCCCCAGTACACCACCTACTGAAACCCAATGTATCATCAGATTCCAATCAGCAGAATATTTTACCAGCATGATTAATTTCAAAACCAGTTTGGCAGCATTGCCAAATCAATGTCCAGTTTTCAGCCAGAGTTTTCCTTATCATGATTTTATCGTTGCAGTAAGAGATCAGTGATGCTTTATGGAAGCCATTACAGGGCTGGATCATTACTTCCCATAACAAAAGCACCACTTACTTAAAACCTATGCAGCCTACCAATTTAGATACTGGGTAACTTAAATATAATTCATTACCTTTGGGAACCTTTCTTTGTAGACGTGGTTCATCATAATTATTTCATTGTCACAGCAAGCAGGAGAACGTCCAGGGCTGCAAGCAAAGCAAATTATCCCTTTACACTTGTCCCAGCATGAACTACAGTTAGTTCTTACATTTTTGTATGACTTATTTGCAACAAAAATTCAGCAAAAACTTCACTGGAAAGGTAGTCTGCAATCAATAGCACACTTAAGTTCCTTTCTACTATTTCTGTTCAAGTCCTCATGATCATTTAACCCACTTGACATCTAACTGCTAACCATGTTATTCTCCTAGTTTGTACCTGTATTTCAAGGCAGATGAAGCCTTGTGAATATTATCTTTTCTTCAGAAGGACAAGAGAGATCTTTTTAACTGGTCTTATACCTGTACCTTTGAAGATTAGATACAATCAAAATAGCAAGATCTGACCAAGAACTCTGGTAGCTGCAAGTGAAAAAGTACAAACAAGAGTTTGTTTCAGTTTTGCTTGTTTTTCTAAACAGATAATTTGAAAAAATATATCAAAACAATCTATTTTCAATTTGACCAGCAGATAAAGGCATTAACTATGTACAAATAATGTCATGTATATGCACATGTTAAACAAAGATGGAGCATTGTGCCTGTAAAAAAAAAGCACAAGACTTTGAGGAAAAGAATTCATAAAAAATACCCACAGACCTCACAAACCTACAAAATTACTTTTTGCTATTATGAGTCTCACTGTCCACTAGAAAGCCCTTTAAAAATCTCAATACAGATTTCCTGGTGTTGGTGATTCTGGCCCATTCAATCTGTCTAGAAGGTCTGATCAAGTGGAAATGTCCCTGCTCAGAGCAGGGGGGTTGAACCAAGATGATCTTTAAGGTCCCTTCCAACTTAAATCATTCTGTGAATCTAAATCTGGCTTTTGGTATTCTTAAAGATGAAAATGGAACACTAAACTTTGTCAGGGATATCACAATGGCGAGTCCTTGAACTGATACAGGCAGCCTGTCACAGACATTCAGGCTACTACTGAGAACAGAGCAGGTACTTGGATTCAGAAAGGGAATACTACAATTACATCATGAAAGACTAGGTCATCAAGACAGTCTCTGCAGGTTAGCTGCCTTCACATTAAGACCTATCTTAACGATATTTACCACTGAAGTAAGTCATGACCAAAACCAGAACAAGTATTTAAAGACTACTCTTCATTCAGCCTGAGTTATATATGTATTTCAGACATTTCAAAACCAGCACACATCACCAGTGTAAAATACCATGATGCTACCCACAATATGTGAATTTAGATCCATCCCCTGTTTTCAGATACACAAACTCACCTGAGACTCCGGGACCGAGGGCGCATTGCAGTTGTCCTGCACCTGTTATCACTGGCAATGCTCTCAGTTGTACAGAAATGTTTAGACAAAAAATGTAGTTCGTCAGGTGTTGGTTGGTATGGTAACTGGTGTAGCTTCTCTTGGGATGAGCAGGATGACTAAGAGCACAAGAAAACACAAGTGTCCATCAGAGCGAAAAAACATCATTTTCATGACCATATTTGGTGCTCATGAATAATGAATAATGTAATTTAAGTTAAAAAATTATAGTTACTGTTTCTCATACCTGACTACCAATTTAAAGAAGAAAATAAATAATTACTCTCAAACTCATGAGCTAAATATAGAGTAAATATTTTTAAAAAGAATCTCTTCAGTTCAGAAGACACGCTGCACTTCAAAAATTTAAATTTCCTAAGGCAAAGGTGATGTCTGATGTCAATGATATGTAAGAACAGCTAAAATGGAGTATGCTGAAAATAAATTATTAGAATAGGATGGCCTAAACATGGTAACCATAAAGTACAACTTATTGTCACAGTGCCGATTGTAAATCTTCATAATAAAGGTACTTCATTATCCATATTTAAGACATTACCAATGCTCTTAAAATCAAATTCTATCTAAAATTTTGCTGAAAAAATTAATACATTAATATCTTTTAAAAACTGTACTCTGAAAACAGAATAGGAGAACTCAATACATTTATCAAGACCGGTTATATCGCCACAAAAAGCAAATGGAATTACAATAAAACCATCCATTTAGTATCAAACTGGAAGATATGGACAGGTATGAAAATGGCAGTGCTACCACCATAACCACCCTTGCAACATTTCATGTACAGAGCTGCATTACATAAGCAGTCCAAATGACCAAACTATGTATTTTAAGGGTTTTTATGCAGCTCTACCTGAGCCACATTAGATACCTGCAGGTAGAACTTGTAACTTTTCCGTGAACCTGGATCTAGTACACTTTTTAAAGAACACATACATAGTTAAAATCACTAACAACTAGTCATGCTAACATGGACTGACAAACACGGAGAATTTTCTACTGTTTCTGGTACCAAAATCAGTTTCCAAGTCAGCTGATTCATAAATATTCTTGTATGACTGCACAAAGCTGCTTACTACCATGCAGACATTCCCTATATTTTATCTGCAGAAAGGAAGAAGTTGAAAAACTTGGATATCTTTCTGGGGCTCTTCAGACTCCAGCTGTTTTTCTCAATAAAATGAATTTCTTCTGTGTATCAATTTACATGTGCACATTACTGCTTATCTGACTTCTCATATTGAACACCAAGGCCCCCGCCTGGGTGGTCTTTTAATGTTTCTTTGTTACATCATTTCTAGTGAGGGAAATCAATAAACTTTTGTACTGCACAAGTATTACCCCTGCATTGCTAAGGTCAGCAGATAATAACCACGCAAGTAAGCACAGAAGCTAGGAAGTCTTTTTAATCTCCTGGCAACTTGTGTGGTAAAGGCTAATATCCTAGGTCAGAAGCAAAAGAAACGTTTTCTTATCACACTAGATCTCATGAAATCTCGTCTCCTAAAAGCAAAAAAGAATAAAACCCACTATGAGAAAAGGCTAACAATGACATGTTTACATGGGAATGCAACACCACATCACAACAAGTTGAAGTTTGCAAGACTGTGTTACCTTGCTTTGCTGCGGGCTAAGAGGCATGGACACTGAGAATTTACCACAGCTCACTAGATAAGTAGTAACTTGCTGAGTTACTGTAACTCATGCATGAAATTCAGCCTTAGCACATTAACATGCATAATTCAGCATACAGCATAGGAAAAGTAAGTTCTTTCTTATCTCACACTATAGCAGTTGGTTGCAGTTAACCTGTTATCCCGCAGCCATGCTCTGTCAAATAAATGATACTGTAGCACAGGAGAATTTCCCAATACAGAGCATCACAGGTGGCTATTGTCTTTCAGGGGATTATGGGAAGATCAGTGTGAAAATAACTCATATCACACTTCTTCTCATACAAGGTGCCACAGAGTTTAGATCCAACATGACTGAAGAGAGGATCTTCCCATGCTAATCACTCTCAATTGTATCAGGACCATCACAGGCATAAAGTACATTTTTCTGGTGATCTAAATTCTTATTACAGTACAAATCCAAATTCTTACAGCAAAATTCTTAAACAAAATAGTTCTCCTGGCATTCTACAAGTAATGTTCAAAAAATCACATAAGAGCTAAATTTTTTAATATGTTCAACTGTACTGCATTATGGAAATGCAAATGTTCTTCTGAAACAGAAATAGAGGTTTGAAAAATACACAGCTTGTCTCTCAGTTCATCACTTCTATAAGGCGTGCTCTCCTAGAAGACTCAATCATCTCAATTGCATTGTCTAACTGCAAAGATTTGATCCTACTGTGCTAGAGTAAGACAAACTACCAGCTTCTTTCCAACTGAATAATCAAGCAGAAGGTATTTTAATTTTGATTTTGCTGTGATAACCAGTATTTGTGGTACCTGCACCACTTCTAAACCCATGATCTTCCGTTAAATAGGTAATTCTATCCATCCCATCACTTTCAATATTAAAAAACAAACAAACAAAAAAATAGGTAACAAATGAGTGAGCTACACTCCCCTCAGCATAAGTGTGGTAAGTACAGACACTTTGGCCCCTACTTTGACTTTCACTTGCCAAAGTTGTGATCTATTGCAATGTGTAAAAACTCTTTCTGTTCGCTGCCTGATACATGTCTAGATTAATGTGAATTTTATTTATTCATCACTGAAAAGGGAGTGTTCTATATGTACATTTACAGTGTTGTATGAACTGGTCCCTCATTTCCTCTAAGAAAAAGTAATAATGTAGAAGAGAAGGCTGAACTGTGCTAGCTCTTTCAGATTCTGAAAAAGTACATGAAATCAATTAGATGGGTACACTTCTAGTTTTGGTTTTGTGATTCACATGTATCATCCACGAGCTAATAGAAGAAAATGAAAAACATCTCCAAGAAGTGAAGAAACAGTCACTAGTTTTGGAATCCCAAGGCTATCCAAGTGCTTTTGCAGGGCTTATCAGCAATAGCAAATTCTCGGGCAAAACAGAACAAGAAACTAACCATGAAATACTGCAGAAGCCAAGACAATAAAGCCTAATGTGTTTGTCTCAGACACCAATAGCAGGGTGGCTGTGCCGCCAACCAAGGACTTTAGGTAACAACAGCCAAGGACTGCTGGCACAACATGCTGTGAGAAAGAACAAGATGTGACTGGACAAGGGGCCACTCGGAGCTAGGACAGCACTCCTCTGGGACAAAGGTCTCTGATCTACCTCCTGGAGATAAGCACAGCTCAGCACAGCACAAACAGAGAAATGAGGTGGAGAAGCAGGCACAGAAGGCAATCAAGACTGCCAAAGACCCCCAAAACCCTCTGACCCATTTCCACAAGGACTTGAAAGACTAGACTGTGAGCGATCACTAATTTGCATTGAAAGTGAGAAACCCACCTTCAGGGTGGCAACAGCTTCTCTACAAAATGGTACTCCCCACCCCCCAAGCCTCAGGCATCCCCAGGATCCTGAGATATCCCAGCAGCTGGACTAATGCTGGAGCCAGGACGGGTGATCTCTTCCTCCCCCCTTATCCCCCCCCCTTTTTCTTCTTTTTTTCTTTCCTTCCCAACCCACCCCTTTATGCAAAACACACTGACATGTGCTTATACAGCAGGCCAGAGACTAATACATCAATTTCTATGTCAAGTGTTTAATCTACAAATATAACAGTGAGTTTTTGTGGATCATTTGAATTCTGTAATTTCTTTTGACCACAAGTATTTACCAATCTGGGTGATCTCTTACTCTTAAGGTGGGACACCATTGATATTCATGGCATGAATTCTCTACTGCTGCTTTCTTCAAAAAAATTAAAATTTATTTATTGGAAAAACACGAAACACGTTTATTTCCACAAGTAAGAAACTGTTTACTCAATGGTAGGAAAGACATATAAGTATGTTATTATTTATATATTCTAGTCAGAAATAATCATGGGCTAGGTCAACAACAATGTATTACAGAAGCTAAGACATCTAAGTCCATAAATGTATGGACAGCAGATGCAAATACCATGTAAAGCTGCTCCACATTCCAGGATGCCTACAGCAGCTAGTGAACTTAAGTAGGGAAGAAAGTATTTTAATTAGAATTACCATTTTAAAACTGAAGATATCAAAGAAATTAATAAGGGCAGAAAATTAAAGCTGTGTTTTGATCTGGTTTTGACACAGCTTTCAATCTCCTCTCTAGCACAAGTCTGTTTCCTGCAACAGTGACAGTGTTACAAATTCCTTTATTTGATATAAACTCCTTTATGTCAATATATTTTAGGTGAAGAGCACAGCATATCTGATCTAGTTCCAATAAGAGGTATACAAACGTGCCCTAACTGAAACTGCTTACAGAATTAATGTGAAACCAAGGAATTTACTAGGCAAAAGTAACATCTACACAGAAAATAAAGTAGAGGTCAAAATCAGGACTTTAGAGAACAAGTTCTTATGACACACGAAATTACCCAACATGGTTTAAGACAGAATTGTCCTTCCAGAAATCTTTGTGGGCAAAAATAAAATGAGAGTTGATCGTAACACAAAATAGTTGTATTTCACGATTGTACAGAACGTGAAACTGGAACTCTACTGTTCCACAAGAGAAACTGAACAAACCCACTGGAAGTTGGAAGAGAAAGCCCACTTTAATTGTTAAAGAAACCGTTTAAAAAAATCAATTATTACCCATTCAGTAAAATGTGCTACTCATAAAAGGTAAAACACCTTTTATAGCCATATAAAGCATAAAACATTGAAGAGCTGTAGTTGGATCTACACAGACCATCACTTCCACTGCAGTGACATGTTCTAACTGTCAAAATGTCAACTATTTGCTATTTCCAAAGCAGGCTTTCTCTACGGCTCTACCTCCACAGCCTCTAGGTGTGACTACCACAACCAAGAGCTCTGCTCCAGGTTGTAACAAGAGACAGTCGTTCCTCTCCAGTACAGAGATGTGCAGATGCACAAAGTAGAGGCTAGTATTTCTGCCACGGCTGGCTCCCGAGTTCTGAAGCAGGATCCAAGGCACTGCTGTGGCATATGAGATGCACAGGTATGGGGGGGGCTGACAAACCACTGGCAGAAGCCAGCCTGAGGGGAGCCAAACCGAACCCAGCTAAATACTGACAACCAGAGCTGAGCCCAGCAGTCTGGCAGCAAGACATGGACAACCCAGCTTTTTTGGGGATTTATCCCTCATTGTTTCTTCTTCCAGCCTCAGGGATGGAGAACGCAAGCCACAAAGAGCAAATGCCATCTTGTCTTTGTCTAAGCAGCCACACAGAACTGAGCTGAGGTGCTGAACACCTTTTGTGTGTAAAGCACCTTCTCCTTTGTAAATTTTATTATCAATATTGTTGCCATTACCATGCATTTCCTACTCCTTAGCTGATGGTTTTCTGTTGTTACCTCAACCCATATTCTCTGCTGTTGTTATCTCAATCCATAGTCTTTGCCTTTATCCCCCTCTCACTGAAGCAGGGTGGGGAAAATGGGGGTGGCCTACTTGTAGTTTAATAGTTTTTTTAAACCACCACAATTGCACTGAAACAACTGCTCCAAAAGGTAAAAATTAGTAAGTTAAACTTATTCTATTATGCATCCCAAAGGATTCCTTTTATTCTGATTACAGCCATCTGAAAGGTTACGTATCTAACCTATCACCATGCACGAACATCTCACAATTGCCAAAGGAAAACAAAGGCTAATGCGTGATTCATCTCACCCTAAGACAGCAGTCTAACCCAGGACAGGTGAATCATGCCATAGACAGTTTCTCTTTCTTCTTGTCATCAAGGCAGCCTCAGTTAAGACTTGATACCTAACTATTATCTGGTTAAAATAAGGCAGATCAAAAGGGAGCAGCTGAACACTATTCACTACCAAAAAGTATCTCTCAGCAAAGTACACATTGTGCAAAGTTTTCTTCAATTTCAGGAAAGCAAAGCAGTTTCCTATCACATGTTAGTTCTAAGTCTATCAAACACAACAAAACCTACATTGTCTTTTCCTCAGAGAAGCATGCTACATTTGAGAAGCTAAAGCCTGCAGACGACATCCATCAGCACAACCAAACAGATACTTACAGAAACAGTCGAGCTGGGTGTATTTGTACCATAGCCAGAAGAAGGGAGAGAAGCCAAAGACCAGCGGCGACCATCAGTCCTGGAAGTTATAAAATGGAGGTCAGTCAAATGAACACTGCAGCATCCTAATGCAGTAACATGTGTTAAGTATTACTGGGTAAAACTGCATCCCAAAAGCATGATAAAAATAGGGGCTTTAACAACAGTATACTTTTACAGGGCACCACAGTAAACAAGCATTCACCAAGGATGAATTATTTTTATTGTGGTTTTATTTATAGTTAAAAATCTATGAGATGGAACAACCACAAAGAGAATGAACAGGTCCACAGAACTGGTATCTAAAACAAACAGAAAAGGACAATAAGCTCACAACTTTTAGGTCCATCCCATAAAAATTAATGAGAAGCAAATTAAAAAAATTGTGAACAAATGCAGACCACTGTGCTCTGAGCCACAGAATAACCATCACATTCTGATTGATATAAAAGGGTAGTGCATTCTTCAGTGGCATCAGCAGAGGATATCAGCAAACTAGCAGGCTAATGATCAGGTAAAACCAAACCTAAATGTTAAATGTTACATACATGACACAGGAAAAACAAATCTTCAGGAAAAAATCATGCTCCCTCCAAATAAAAAAATTAAATAAATACACAGATTATAACCAAAACACGATTTATGTTCTTCATTGTCTGAGGTAACAAAGACAACATGAAACTTCAACATTCAAAGTGGCAAACAAAAAAACAACTATGAGAGAAGTGTTTGGATTTTTGAAAAGGTAGAATTTACCTGTCATTTCGATGCCCATGACTGCAATACAATTGAATCAAGTGTGTTAAAAAAAAGGCAAAATAAAATATAAATAACAAAACAGGTCAAGTTTTTATTAACAAGTGGTATGACAGTTAGGAAAGGAGAACTGAAGATCTGTTTAACAAGTATCATGTCACAAGTCTGACGGACACAAAAAGTGAAATTCTGAAGAACTGAAGATTAATTGAAGCGTATTTTTGAAGAACTGAAGTAATGTCAAATCAGCAATCTCAAACCTATTGATGCAGAGGTTTAAGTGGTCCCTTCCTTCAAACTAATAGTCTAAAAAGCCCCTTGCTTCTTTCCAATATATCCACTTATTCATCCACAAACTACACTCAAAACTCTGGGACTTTGTATACATAAAGCTTAAGAAAAGGAACTACAGTACATTATTAGTATCAAAATGTGAAAAGCACATGTACTAGAGACTGCTAATTGTGTCAAATACTGAACTCTGGAAAAAACTTCCACCTCTACCATAATCTTGTTCTTAATTCATTCTTTCACATTCTCTTCTTCACCCAAGTATGTAAGAGACACCTCCAGACGAAAGCACCATTCTAAAAGTAGTTTTCTCTTCATTTGGCTTAGCTGCTCACAATTGAAAGAACTTAGGCAGTACTTTAACATGGGTGAGACCCACGTATTCTGCATCTGTGAGAAATAAAGTATTTCTTAATTGAGTAACTCATAGTGAACAGGGTACTTGAATCACACAGAAAGGCTGTCAAGGGCGCAGACAGGCTACCCCAGAAAGTCATCTGGGAGGCAAACATGGGCAAACAGGAGGCATTCATAAGGCATTATGGGAAAAAAGCCCCTATAGCATTTTCCCCTGGACTCTTTCTACACCATTTGCTTCCGTCCTAAAGTATGGCTTTACTCACTTTCCAGCAGCTCTAGAAAGGGCAATCTGTCACCTACGTACAGGTTCGTAGATGCTGGACTTGTATGCACAACAGCAGTGCTGACTTGCAGAGGCACAGGCTATTCCTGGGCACTGATCAGCCCACCAGACATGGGAGAGGAAGGTGACTCTCCAGCTCGGTTCTGAGGCACTGGGAAGGCACGCTCCAGCTCTGCCCACCGGCTGGAAGCGCAGCACAGGGGCATCCCTACGGCAGGTCCCTTTCCTATGGCTGCTGCAGGCAGGGCCAGTGCCTGATGAGAAGGGGATACACTAAGGAAGCAGCTTCACAGAAGGTCTCAAATAATTTCCTTTCCCTCTCTCTCCCTTCCTCACACTGTTGGAGTTTTTGGTATCCCCATTGACTCGGTGGCAGTGGATAAAAAAGTATCCATACCCCTACACCATTGCCCCTGGCTCCCTCAACCTGCTCTATCACCCTTGTCCTTCCCCTCCTTTTATACCTATTAAATTTACAAAATATAACAGAAAAGGCATAAACTCAGAAGTCCATTCTCATTATTCACAGTGCATTTTACTATGAAAATTCATCCCACCAAACTTATATGAAAACAACCACAACAGACATACCAAATTAATAAGAAAAAAAGTTGCATCAATGCAGTTTTAAACTTCATTGCCATCAAACATCTTTGATATAAACACAGAACAAAATCAGTTTCCACAGAAAATTGCTCTGAATGTTTCTTGAATCCCACTGAAGTGGTGAGATATTTTTAAATCAGAGAAATTTCCTTCAGTTAAAGAATCTATTTGAAGTGCATTACAGGGCTCTAGAGAGGTCAAAATCCAAATGAAACACTAGAAAACAAATCCTTTTGTTTTTTCACGAATTCTGAATTCTAAGGTTTACAAAAGTATATTATTTTAAACTTTCTGTTGATTATGGGTAGGGAAGAAAAACTATTTCTCGGCTGCTGTATTTCTAAGCAATGCTCAATCTTTCACATCTGCTTTTTCCATTATAAACTATTTCTGGATTTAATGAATCTTTCTAAAAATATGCTCACAAACAAATGCAACCTATAAAGAGATAGTATCTCTGACAAAAGGAAAACTATCAAGAGGAAGTAGATTCAAAAGAAATATTCAACTTTCTTAAGATAATTTAAAAAGCAGCATCATAAGCTACTAGAAAGATTGACAAGATCTACTGTCACAAATTAACTAGATTCAGATTAAAAAATTATGCAAGCTTTCACCCCTTTGCAGCTTTAAAAAAAAAAAGTTAAGCCATTTTCTTGCAATTACTTTTGAGAATTTTTGTGGGCTACTTTACTGATCTCCCAAAATAAAGTGACTAAAACTTTACAGGCAAGTTATAGCTCAGCACAAACCCATCAGTTAGATGCCTGACACTGCTTAAACATCCCAATTTCATTTTATATATATATATATACACTCCTGGCTAAACATATAAATTCTGCTTACCTTCACAGACATAAGAGCTAATGAAAATATTATTTGCAGTAGGGTGACAATGTGTTAAGTGATGGGGAGCCACACTGGCACAAACAGGCAGTGTCCCATGACATGCTATCAACTTTGGTTATAGATCATTTAATAATGATTTACTTCATAAATCACTTCAAGTTCACTTTAAACCTTCAAAAATTCTACTAACATTAATTAATCCTCACAACACTCCTGTGACAATGCTTATTGTCTCACAGACACTGGTACAGATATTGAAACAGGTCAATGACAGGTATTCAAGGTATGGTACTAAGACAATGTCTGAATCAGATTTATTACAATTAAATCATTATTCTATTTTTTTAAATTAAAAAGATATGCTCCCATTGCATCACACATTCAGTAGTTTGTTGCCGCTGAGGTTTAAAATGGTTTACAAAAATGAGCTAATACTTCTTATTCTAAGTGACAGACCTGACAGATGTATTTGCAATCGCCTTTTGTATCTGCATACATTTCCTCTATGCAAAATGTATGTTGAATACTACGAACAACCTCTTACCTTCGTGCAAAAGAAAAGTGGGCTGAGGCACTGGGAGAGAAATTCCTAGGGCTATCTTGAGGACTGTTTCCTGTTGGAGATGATACAGATAAAATTATTATTAGATGGGTGGGGTGAAGAGAAGTCACTAAAAACATTCAGACGTATCAATGCATGCATTTCCAGTGGGTTCGAAATGAATTTCAGAATTTTTTCTTTCACAGCCGCTCTGAAAATAAATTCTGAAACAGAATCTTATTTTGACTCGTGTTTCATTTATACTGAGTTTTAGTGACTGGATTTTGTAATTCATCGAGAACTGTTCATTAAGCCTTTTAATTTGAAAATTCTCAAAACAATTCGATAATTATTTAAAGAAACCAGTACATTAGTTTGAAGAATAGGTTTTTAATGTCACAAAAAATATTAGTTTTTTAAAATATCATACAAAACAATGAAAGATAGAAAAATCATTATCAAAGATTTAGCCCATATGTGAAGTCTCTACAGCATTTTCACAGGCTTCCTTGCAATTTTTTTTTTCATTGCTCATTTTTTTCTGTCTCCAAAACAAACAAGCAGACAACACACTGAACTGAACTTTTTTACCCTTACCTGCATTTTGTGAACAGGTTTCAATTTTGGAGTTTGTTACTCCTTTCTATTAGAACACCTGATCTCCTGCGGACCAGCATGAGTACAGAAAGGCAGCAGCTGCTGAGAGCTGCTCTACCCCTCTGCCTGTATAGTTAAAGGAGAAACTGTATTCCTTCCTTTAGAAGGAATAAAAATGGCCTCTAAAATAAACCTACAGAATACCTCTAAACATACCCAAAAAAACACAAACCCCAAATAAAAAAACCCCAAACAACCCCTCCCCAACTTCCCCTCCCCACACAAAAAAAAAGGCCAAAAGGATCCAATATAAAGTAGTACTGGCAAACATCTAACAATCAATCTTTCCTTAAACTTTTCTTTAAAACAACTGTAGCAGCAACACATGAAAATAGAAAAAAAGTAATGCATTTGTTGTAGCATTTTATTTTTGGACATAAATGAGACTGAAACAAAAGCAATTGATTAAAAAATAGCTCCTATATAGCCAGCTAGAAACAACATGAAATTTCTGAGGGGAAAATCACTACCTATGTGTGAAAAGGCCATTATAAAAAACTGAGTCCTTAAAGGGCTTCAAGTGGCCTTGACTGCTATCCAAATGTTTGAATCAACATTGCATTTATCACAGTGATATCCATTGCAGATATCCATAACAGATTGCATTAATTCTATATGGGAAAGCATAAGCCTTGAGTGATTAGGTAGCAAACACAGTGATCAACACACATCCCCACACTAACCCCCTCCCCATTTTGTCTAGAAGCAGATGCAAGATGCTTTTTGAGCTGTGCTGAGCAGCTTTCGCAGCTGCTCTTTCCACAGCCTCGTGAGACATGGATTCCACTCTCACTGGCCAATACCCACAAGTTTTTTTTAGCCATTAATCTATCATGGCAGAATTATGCCTTCCTACATTCTCGGCATCCCCTCAAGACCCCAGCTTCTTCACTACCCTTCAGACACTGCTGAGGGCCTCAATAATTTCAAGGTGGCAAGGATTCTCATTCCCTGAATGGACTGGAGCAGAGGGAATCTGAAGTCATAAATTCCCATCTTTAGTTGGGGACTAAAAAAAATTACTCTTACCTTCTATCAACTGTAAACACCAAATTACTGAGAGCAACAGTTCATTCAATTTAATAGCTAACTGGATTTCTTTTTCTGAGACCAAAAATTATTAAACAAAAAAAAACTAAAAAAAAAAAAATTTAACACTGCGCAGATAAAACAGTCACAAATATTAACTGCCACACTAGAAAAACATCAGCTGTAATCTGGAGCGTGTTGTGGCTTAGATAAGTAAAAAAGACAAAGAAGCTACCTTGAACTCTGGCAGAAGAGCATAGAATTAGCCTTAACATAGTGAGACAAACAGCTTTTCACAGGAAACAGTTTCACAGATCAGAATATGGGGCTTTGTAAACCAATTCCTTTTGTTTCGCTAGCTGAAGTTATATATGGATATAAACAAGCTTTTAACACACATCAAGGACATACTTTACTGTCCATGGGTTAAAATACACACAAAAACTTCATAAAGAAGAAAAAATATGATTAAATAATGTAGCAATTTTATAGGTATCGGTGTGGATTTGGATTTGTGGAATCACAATGCTGCAAACTACGTTGCTAGAATCAACACAGATCACTTCCTTACAGACAAAACCTTAAGAAGTCAGTCTTACTCAGGAAGAGCATCAGATCCTGTTATTAGGAAAATCAGCTTGGAATCATTACTTGTAATAGCAAATCAGCTTCTGAAATAACAAGACTGGTGATGCCATACACATAATACTGGGATACTAAATCCTGAAGGTTTATCTAGAAATTGTAAGAACTCAGACAAACCTGGAAACAAAGAATGAGAATACAAACCCCTAATGACTGGAGAAACAGCTAGTGCTATTACAGGTATAAGGTGTAGTATTCCAGAGGAGCAAGACAGGCTGGAAGCAGAGTCTCACATGCGACCTTCATCAAGGTATTCACCCACCCATCTGCAAGTCAACGCCTGGGAGACTTTCAAATAAAATCTAGTGCCAGTTACCTCTCTGTCCATATGTGCAGGGCTGATGAGTCAAAGCCTACTGTTCTTTGAAATCTGCTTGCATTGTATGCTTTAGTCCTACAGTATCTCTATGTGACGGGGATTACTGCCCAAGTGTTGATTTAGTAAAGTAAACTGGACTGGTGATCAGGCATTAGACAATTAACTCCAGCATCCTCTGGGAGACACAATGAATAGGCAATTAATGTAACAAAACAATACTCTGCTTCATAACAATACACAGGGTGACTCATTTTGCAAGTACCTATTGTTAAGAAAACTGTATCAAGACAATTAAACTGTGGTTGTTTTGCAAGTAGCTTCAAGAAATCCTCTGTCTTTGCCACTGAGGGAAGATACTTCAAATATTTTTTAAAAAGCATGCTACAGTCACTGCATATTATTAATGTACTTTTAATAGCTGTCTACCTACAAAACAAAGAGTTTCAAAAGCAATGATTTTCTGTTAGTATGGAGGGAATACCAGATTAATGATAACTGTTATCATTAATCAAGACAAGACAAATCAAATCAATTAATCAAGACAAATTCCTGATGGATCAAAGACAAATCCAGTTTGAATTTTTTTAAAATGTACCACAGTACATCAGTGTTCCATTAATACAATGATGCGTTGTACATTCCTCTGTGTCAGTTCACATGGTGATGAGTGTTGACTGTGAACTGAGTAATACACAAGACATCATCCACCTGCAGTTACAGGTCTGACTTTCTTACCATAACAAACAGCATTAGTCAGTAGAACATACAGCTGGGCAGAATCTACACTAGAGGAATCATTCTGAATACTTCTGCAGGTGCTTTCCAAAAAGTGAGGAGCTCAGGCTATTATTTTCATGTGAGGAGCTCAGGCTATTTAAAAATCTGGACTGACTATACCTGAAACCAGCAAAAAACTTGCCTCAGCTATGGCAAGGAAGGTCTGTATGATCCTTAAATCCATCTACAAGAAAGCGCTACGTGTTCCAACCATTAATTAATATTGAGAGAGCTTTTTTTACAGGATTTAATTTCTATCTGCATGTAACTTACTATTTAGAGTTTCTTCTCCTGTCCTTAAACCAGTAAAAGATGATTTGAAATTTCCGTAACCATTAACTGCACCCAAAAGAAATGCTAAATAAAAAGTTTTGTTTTAGCAAATCGGTTTTTGTAATTCTACAAATAACAGCAGTCAGAGTAATTGATATACTGCACGAGTTTTCTTTCAAAATCTGACATTCAGAGCCCTGCTTTATATCCCAGCTTTTAGCATTTCTATACTTCACCACAAAAACACACTAGGGGGCCTTATTTATTTAGAAGCATAGCTTTCTTTCCCTTAAAATATACGGTGCAAACAGCTTTGCTGATTACTATGCTTCCATGTTGCTAACTAAAGTACATCTCAGAATTATCTGATGCAAGCAGTGAGCCCTGACATAGTGAGACCACACTATTAACAACCAGCATTCTACCAGTGTCGACCTAAAAATCTGAAAAGTCCTTGAAATAGGATTACAAGAGGAGGTAAAACCTTGTTGAACTTTAATTTTGCTTTAGGGAATTGCATCATGTAATCCCACTGTGAAAGACTGATGTCTCGAGACATTTTGGGATAAATATGTGCTAAGGAAAGGGCAGGTCAGACCTTACCCTGGTCTGACAAGGCAGTGCCTGGCCCTGTACACCCCCAGCCCCCTAAAGCCTGTATCACAGAACAACAGAAATGTCCCTCTCTGGCACAGTGGAGGCAATGGCCCTCTGGAGCCTCTAACTCAGCTCCGGAGTGGCCAAATGACTGGAAAACCCACCAGGGGAAAGGGCCCAGGAAGTCCAGGGGCATTTAAGGCCAAACACAAGGCCATGGCACTGTCTAGACCTCACCTCCTTGGGGAAGTTCTCCATGAACGGTGCTGGAACTCACGGGTTGGTTACTGTATGTGGGCACTTCTGTATCTTTTCTGTCTTTCCCTTCTTCTCCTTCTTCTAATCACCTCTTCATAGAATTTCTGAGTAACTTAAAATCAATCCCATTTAGTGATTGCTAAGTTCAATGGGCCAAGTCAAATCTCTGAGAAATGATCTAGGCTGACTGAATGTTACGCTAGAACTTTTGCCCAAGTTCTTTGACATTCTGAAGTTACCAGTGAAGCTGTTTTTGTTGTTTGACCTCTTGAGAATATCTTGTCGGTATTTCCCCTATGTATGCAACTTGAGGTACATGAACAACCGTAAGTAATTTATCAACTTCACTGAGTGAGCTGTTTGGGGCCTTATACCTATTTATCCAATCTCCTAGAGAAAGTCAGGTTTGTCCCTGCCATACTTGGGTGGACAATTCTTTAAGATCCCTCATGTTCCAGTATATATGACCAGCATGTGTTTCTCTTCCTACTCTATGAAGGGGAGGGAGAAAGGCAATT